CGCGATATTATTATCGTCGTTATTATTAAAGAAAGATATTAATTTAATCTAGTATACTAATATTAAAAGTTCTTTATTTTTATAGATTTTCAGCGAGCATAAAATATATATATACGATAAAATTATTTAGTACTTTCGAAGGTCTACGATAGATAGACTGAATGAGAGAAGAACTTAAAGAATCTTATTAAGATATAACTATATCTCCGAAATCTTAATCATCTCCAGCTAAGGCCTATATCGACTATGAATATTTAAAGATATAAGGTAAGCAATGGGCCTATATCTTCGATCTATCAGCTATGAGAGCTATAGCTCTTTAAGAGAGAAGAATAGTATTACGAGCGTATTCTTAATATACTACTTAGCTCTATAGCTAGCGAGCCTTAACGAAGATATCCCCTATTATATTATATCTCCTTTCCACCTATATAGTTCGATAGTCTTATTATTCTTATTCTATCTTACTTATACTAATATTACATCTATACTAATTCTAATAATTATTACTAATAAGATACTTTTAAATAGACTTTTAAATATTATTTTTTTAATACTTTAAAATATTATTTAAGATAGTAAGTAAGTAAGTAAGAATATAAATAAGTAAGTAACTATATATACGATTATAGAAGTCTTAATTTAAAGAGATTTAATAAAGAAATAAAAGAATAGTAATTAAATATATATTTTATTAAGATGTAATTATTTGATATTTGATTTTCGGGTAGAGAAGAGATCTTATAATAATGCGATCTGATTAGCTCGAGTTCTTTTAAGTTAAATTAAGTTATAAGTATTAGACTTTAAATTAATATCTTATAGCCTTTTAATAAGTTTCTTTATAATATATTAGATAGTCGATAGCGATTAAAATTATTAATAGCGATAGTAAGGTCTATAAATATCGTAATATAGCTTTAAAAGATCTTTATAAGTATATTAATAAAGAGAATATACTTAGTAGTTTTAATATAATAATGTTATTAAATAATAAGAGTCTAAGTAATCGATTTTTAAATATAAAAAAATAAGATTTCGAGATACTTTCTAAAGACTTTAAATAAATTTAATTCGTTTAAAAATACGATATTCGAGGTTTTTTTAAATCGTCTATTAAGTGATAGAATAGACGTTATCTATTATCTAAAATAGATATAGATTTATATATCTTACTATAAGTCTTTCTATAAGCCGTTCTATAAGCTATTCTATAAGCCGTTCTATAAGCCGTTCTATAAGTCTCTCTATAAGCTATTCTATAAGCCGTTCTATAAGTCTCTCTATAAGTCTCTCTATAAGTCTCTCTATAAGCCTCTCTATAAGTCTAAAATAGAAGTATATATATAAGTCTCGCTATATAAGTCGATTATCGAATAAATAAATTAGACGACTAAGAGAAGGATTTATTAATTTATAGTCTTACTATAGCGAAAGAATTATATTCCTCTTTTCTTTCCTCTATTAATAACTTTATTAAAGATAAAGACTTCTAAGAAGATATCTTAGAAGAAATATTTTAAACTTATATTTACTAAATATTAATAAGTCTTTTAAGCCTATAAGAATAACTTAGACCGCCGAAAAAAAAAGCATACTATTAAATTAATTATATTATACTATAATCTTAATTTTACTACTCTTAGACGATATATTACTAATATTACTTATTCTTATTAAGAAGTATATAAATAGAAGTAGCGATTAAGTTTAATAGAAGAGTAAGTTATAGAATTATAGATTCTATAAATAGTAGAGTAAGATTAGTTTATAAGAGTATCTCTTATTAATTATATAACTAATAAGATATTAATAGCGAAAGAAGATTATAAAGAACTAGGTATAAATTAAATAGTTAATTTTATTACGAGCGTATTCTTAATATATTACTTAGCCCTATAGCTAGCGAGCCTTAATAGAAGATATCTCCTACTATATTATATCTCCTTTCTATATATATAGTTCGATAGCCTTATTATTCTTAATCTATCTCACTTATACTAGTATCGCATTTATACTAGTTCTAATAAGTTTTCTAGAACGTTATCTAGATTTAAAAAGTCGATTTAATTAGTCTTTAAATAAAGAATATTCTATAACTTATAATCTAGAGAAATTACTATGGTAGTTTTAGCTTATTAAATTAGTAATTTAGAAATATAATATTTAAAAGAAAAATACGTATAATATAAATAAGAAAGAATTTACTCTTAATACTGCTAATAAAGCGAAAATTATATACTTTAAATATAACTTATAGATATATATAGCTTAGAATAGAATTAGGGAATAGATAACTTTAATTAAATATATATTCGCGGATAAACGACTTCTTTTATTATTTATTATCTTTAAAGATAAGCTTTAGATAAAGATTTAATTTAATATCTTAAAGAATAAATACTTAGTTATTATATTAAGTAAAAATAGCTAGATAAATAATATATTAGACCTAGAGTAATTTACTAGATATATTCGATTTAATTCGTTTTATATAATTAGTTTTTAACTTATTTATTATAGATGCTTTAAATTATAAACTCGAAAAATATTAAAAAAAAAATATCGTCTTCTTTTATATAACGAGTATATATCTTATATTAGTACTAAAGTTATATAATTTTATATTAATAACGATATCGTTCTCTTATATCTATTTACCTGTTCTATATATATTCTTTAATTATTAAATATCGAATTTTTTTAGCCTTTAGCGATCGTATATCGTAGATATCTAATAAAAAATATTATATATAAAGATAATTACTTAATAAATAAAATAGACTTTATTCGATATATTTAAATAATAAAAAAGAATATTATAATAAAAAAGAATATTATAATAAAAAAGAATATTAGATATATATAATAAAAGAGTAGACTATTTCTTATTCGATCGTAAATTATTCTCGATAAATTAAAACTTAAGATATTAGAATTATAATTTATTATATCTCTATCTCTAGAGATAACGATTATAATATTTAATAATATCTCTATATCTATACCCTTTATCTCGATAAATATAAATTAAGTTAATTAGCTAATTTAATAAATTAAGACTAAAATATTTAATTTAACGCTATTAGAAAAGTTTAAAAAAGTATATAATTTAGCGCTAGTAAATAATACTTTACTAAAAATTATTAATAATAATCTTATTAAGATAGAGTAATAAAAAAAGAATAAGATTAAGTATAAAAAATAATACTAAGACGAAGAATAGATTATAACTCTTAAGATTATTTAGTAGCAATTAAAGAATATAACTACTAAGAATTTTAAAAAGAAATTTCGAAATATATATTATCTCGAATTAGCTCTTTTTAAAGATACGAAGAGAGATAGAAGTTTAATTAAAAAAAAGGCTACTATATCTCTTATACTAGGCTTACTAATATCTTTAACGCTTATCTTATTATAGTAATAATAGTAAGGTAAAGAAAGACCTGCTTCGTAATAGTGGCCGGTCTTATCGCAGGCTTCCTCGTAAACTTCCCCGTAGGCTTTATTATAGGCTTTACTAGAGGCTTTATCACAGTAATATAGCGGGGTGAAAGAGGTGGAAGAGGTGTGGGAGGTGAAAGAGATGAAAAAGGCGGAAGAGGTAAGAAGGTAGTAAAAGAAGATGTAATAGAAGAAGATGTAGTGAAAGAAGACGTGGTAGAAGAAGAGGTAGCGACGGTTTTTTTTACGGATCGGTAGATCGATAAGGCCTAAAAAACGATAAATTGGGTTCTTAGATATATTAATATCGCTAGCAATGGAAGTTTAGTATTGTCCTTCATGATTATGTCGAGTTGCTATACAATTTTGGTGAAAGGTAGGCATTTTGGTGTTGCGCCGGACTTATCGGATTTGAAATCGGGCATTACCAGGTATCGGGCACTTCCGGGTATATAAAAATACTAGTCCGGCGGGGGGCCTAAAACTTTTCCCCCAAAATTATACTGGGGGGGGGGGGGGGTTTAAAAAAACCCCCCTTTTTCGGGGGGGTGAGGTATCGGGGCACTTCCGGGTATATACGAATACTAGTCCGGGGGGTTGGCCTTATTTTTTTTCGGTTATTTTTTTGGGGGGGGGGGGTGGGGTTTAAAAATTTCCTTTTTTTTCGGAGGTGTAAAAGTCCTGGACGCCAAGACTCCTATGCCAAGATCTCGGATATCGCCCCGCCTGAAGTGTTGCCTGGAAAATACGCTTAGAAACACCTCGGACTATCTGGTCCCAGCCAATTTGCATATCGCGCCCAATAGAAGCCTCCAAAGCTCAACCTATACACCTCTAAGAAACAGTTCGAGGGTTCCCGCCACAAGGTTGCCTTCCGACAGCAGGGTTAGGGCTGCTACTAGCGCCGTACAGGACATTTTGGGACGGACGAACTTCTTCACCTCTGATTCTAGGTTTGATTTAACCTTCATCAAGCTAATCCGGAAGTTGTTAGCTCAATGCATCTCGAGAAAAGGCTGGCTTTCAGAATAAGTGGCAGTTTTGCCGAGGTCGGCCCACTAGTCAAATAAGCCTTGAGGGACGCAATCATGTACGAGTGGGAGCAAATTGATCAAAGGAAATCAACAGATTGATCCTTAGTATGCCTGATCGTATGCAGGGTGCTTGGATCGGGATGGCATGGGTACCAAGTACTAGAAATCATGTATAGTAGTCAAATAATGGTGTTTTGGTGGGGGAGTACCTCGGCAAAACTGCCACTTATTCTGACAGCCGCCCGAGAAATGGAGGGAGGCGTGTACTTGACTATCTGCAGCGCCTCGCTCAAAAGCAGCTCAGGTAGCGCCAGACTCTGTTCTTACTTCAACGAGATAAACAAGATGCTTTGTACGCTGTGCACATCGCTTAATATATTCGAACTCTTAAACGATGAAGGGAACTCAACTGGTGAGGAGCACCAGCCGACATTCATCGCATTGACAACCTCCGCCTTGAAAGGGTGTTCGCTGTGCTCTTTGTTCAGAGCGACTTTTCTTGACACGTACAAGAGAGTGATGATATGGTCAGAAGAAGACGTACAAAATTATCAAGACGAGAGAGATCGTAGAGCAACTACAAGATTTGTCATAAGGGCTACTGCAGTAGATCTGGACAAGAACTATGCTCCCTTTGAAGACGGCTATTCTGGATTATTCTACTTGAGGCGGGCTCCGACAGATAGCAACGGCGGCAAAGGAGGCGCAAATGACGATGTTGACGAAGACCAGGTATTGCCCTGGCTGAGCATGTCTGCAAGCACGGATATGCCCACTCGAATTGTTGGCAGAGCAATTGGAGCGCACTCGGACTTCGACTTGGGCAAGCAATGGATCGAACAATGTATTGCCGCACACCGTGGCTGTTCTCAAGCATCGAATTCTGAACTCCCAACCAGATTGATTGACGTTGGGCTTCCTGATGGGTCTATCGAGCCTCGACTAGTGGAGACGAAAGGCCAACAAGGCAAATACGTGGCGCTGAGCCACTGCTGGGGGACTTCTAAGCCTCCAGTGACTGATTCTTTATCATTCAACAGGTACCTTCAAGCGATCCCTTTTGTGAGCTTACCGAGAACTTTTCAGGATGCCATAACAGCCGTCCGTCGTCTAGGTTATCGGTATCTATGGATAGATTGTTTCTGTATTATCCAGGGGGACAGTAGAGACTGGCAGATAGAGTGTGCTCGGATGGCACAGACATTCCGTCAATCCGTCGTCACAATCGCTGGACCAGCAGCAGACAATACCGATGCAGGGTTCCTTCGCGAGCGACCAGTACCCATCGTGGAGCCTTGTGAGCTTGAGCTGCGAGATGTGAATCTCAAAGTCTTGGGTACAGTTACCATAAGCTTCCTAGACTACTATGACAGCCCTCTACCAAGGCCAGAGAAAGACTCGCCGTTGGCGACTCGCGCCTGGATACTGCAAGAGAGGCTGCTGTCTCCGCGAATCTTGTACTTTGGTAGCGGGAAGATGTACTGGGAATGCCAGTCAGTGGAATGGTACGAGAATCTGCTATACCCTTGGGTTGAGATAGCCCTTCCAACTGTTTCGAAGAGGGTTCTGTCGTCGCCACTGGATGATTTCAATTTGCGTGCAGTCTGGTATCTCATCGTTGGCACCTATACTCAATGTAAGCTCACGGACGGAAAAGACAAGCTACCCGCGCTCTCAGGTTTAGCCTACCAAGTTCAGAAGATGAACAACGACACTTACCTTGCCGGGTTATGGAAGGAAGACCTACTCACCGGTTTAACCTGGTACACGCCAAACCAAAGCGTCCACGAGCCCAAGAGCCTAAGGCGGGCGAAACAGAACGCACCGTCCTGGTCTTGGGCGGCCTGTGATGATCGGGTCCTTTTTCTCAACATGTTTTCAAGGCCTAAAGAAAACCTAAGGATTGACCTTGAGGTTACAGATGTTCAAGCGGAAGCTGTTGGCTATGATCCGTATGGTCAAGTGACCTTCGGTAGGCTGAAAGTTGAAGGAAAGCTCAAAGCTTCTGTGATTCGGAGATTCTACCACCGTGAGCTCGCAGTCTACAAACTCTACTTATGCATGTCTGGAATGGACAATCGGAAACTCGCCGAATACTACTCAGATGCAGGAGAGGCGGCTTTTGTTCAAAGCGAGTCGGACACATATGAGCGTAACGTCATTACTTTGTTGATAGGTTTTGGACAGCGAAACAGGTGGTTTGGCCTGGCACTGGTAGCAGATGATAGAGTGCCTGGTGTGTACAGACGGCTGGGCCTAATCCAACATACGCCGTTAAATCGCTTTGATCCTAACGGAGCGCTGGACGTTCTGACGGAAGAGGCTGCACAATGGTTCGATGGCTGCGAAAAGGTTCAATTGGACATTGTATGAGTTGCGACCTAGCAATGTAAATGCAGCGGTAGCTACTGATGCCTCGGCCTCGCTCCTGACTTCCGCATTGCTTATCAGGATCTAGCCGGCAAGAGGTGATCCAGCGCCCGGTCCGAGTGATGAATACTCTTCCAACCATCCCGCCAGGAAAATGCCCCTTCAAGAGTCACATTTTCTTGCAGCTGAACTTCCTCAGCCTGTGACTTTCCGCCACGGCGGGAAGTTTGTCTGATGGGAGAGTCAGGTCTCTTTCTATGTATCCATCTTTGTACGTGAACCAAGCTTCTAAGCCATTAGCGATAGGAATTACCGCTTCATAGTCAGTGGCTCCGTTCAGTGTGGTTTCGATGGTCGGTGCAGAAGACCTTGTTGTAATGTGAGTGAACGAACCATCTGAAAGCGTTCTGCCTCCTCCCAGGGCCTCATCAAAGATACCCTCTGCACACTCCCACATCAATTGATGTTTATCAAATAAAGAACGCAAGCCAAGCAGGTCTTGCTCAACACTAGCTCGAACTTGAGGCGTTCTCACATGTACAGAGGTTCAGTCCTGGACAGCGCTAGTCACGGCCCTAACCCTACTCTCGGAAGGCGCCCCTGTAATACGGGACGGTCTCGGGCCCCATGACTATTTCCTGGGAGTGGAACGTTCGGGATCTCTATTAGCCTATTAGGTCTGATAAAGGCAATAGGCTCCAGACAGGGTTCAGTTCAGGCGCAATTCCGAAGCAGATTTAAGCGCATTATCCAGGGTCATCCGAGATCTTGGCGCAAAAGTCTTGGCGTCCAGGACTTACACAATTTACGCGTAGCAAGGCCTACTTCAGCAACAGTCCCTCAGTTCCAGGTCTTCCAGGCCCTCACTCTAGACTCAGTGATCCCTTCATCAGAAACAGCTCCCTCTTTCCCAACATCATGGCCTCCCGCTCCACCACGCAGCCATCTCAAGCCGCCCCAAAGTCCCCATTCTTCCAGCAGCGTGACGCGTTAGTGGGGGAGATTGCCATTGTATGTCTCCCTCTTGCTCACTCACACCCCTCATATCTAGAAGACACCTCTACTGACGCGTCCGACCGAACAGAGCCTCGAGAATGTCCTTCAAAACATGAACAAGCTCAATCGCTCACTGGAGGGCGTAATTGCCGTCGGCAACGAATTCGGAGCGGTGGAGGCGCTGTGGAGTCAGTTCGAAGGGGTGATGGCGCAGGAGCCTGGGGGGGAGGGTAAGGAGGGGGAGACAGAAGGGAGTGGAGAAGAGGAGGAAGAAGAAGAGGTTGAGAGTGCTGGAGAGGCGGAGAAGGTGGATGAAAAGGGGAGGGGACGATGAAAGCAACATGGAGAAGGAGAAAGAGAGAGATCTGTCATGATTTATGAGTTTATGGAGACATGAGATAAGACTTGGGGTGATGAATTGGCGAGAGCTACACGAGCACGGCGTGTCCCCGCTTCGAGACTCATGCAAGCGAGGAGAGGATGTTATGATGGGTTAGAGATGCATTGTTATGTGGATGAAAGCTATGTGTTCCGACTGGAACGCCGGCAGCGCCAAGATACGTTATTCTGCGGCCGTAAAGCAGGAACATGAAAAATGGGAGGATTAATCCGCACAGAGACCTGACGGCGCTTTTTCAAAAACCGTGTACGGGCAAGATCGTTAGGGGAGAGGGGGCTGGTAACAGCGCGCCCACTTCGACCAAGAGGCCTCATAGAATCCGACATTCTCTCTTCTTCGACTTCTTCTCCCTGCCAGCTCCTGCGGCTGCACCCTTTCCAACGAACGACTGCTGAGTCTGCTTCCGCTCCTTCATCTGTATTTCTCGGCCCACCGCTGTGTCCACGGCAAGATCGAAGATCTCATGTACGCCCAGCATCTCTTTGCTGCTGCATTCGACATAGGTGGCTCCCATTTGTCTTGCGACATTTTGACCTTGCTCTTGCGTTACTGGGGTTAGACCTTGGGTCTTGAGGAGGTCGATACAGGCGCGTTTGGTGCGGAGGTCTGATTTGAGGCCGACGAGCATGAGGGGGGTTGTGGGGCAGAAATGGAGGACTTCGGGGTACCACTGTGATTACATGTCAGATGAGAGTCACCGCAATGCGACAGATGACATGCTTACCTTGTCCATGACGTTCTCTAATGAGTTGGGGCAGTCGATGGCGAAGCAGACAAAGAGGAGATCGGTTTCCGGGTATGAAAGTGGACGAAGGCGATCATACTCTTCTTGGCCTGCGGTATCCCATAGTGCTAACTCAACTGTCTTGCCGCTAGGTTTATGTTCTGTGTGTGATAGGTAGTTCTCAAAGACCGTAGGAACGTATTTCTAGTCTGAATTAGCCTCACTTGTCTAATGCTCAGGCGCATTGCTCACCTCAGGAAAATAGCCTTGGCTGTAGCTTATAAGCAAGCATGTCTTGCCACATCCTCCATCACCTACAACTACAAACTTTTTCGAGTATGCTGGTGGCTGTGTGATGTTGGTCCCTGCCGATACCCTATCTGACGAGCTCGCAGCGCTCATGGTGCCGTTGCTGTTTCGCGTGCTCTGCTGTCTGACTGGTTTCCGATGTGGTGATATCGATCCAGATTGCGAGCCCACCACACCGCTTCTCCTCGAGCCTCGCCGTAGGAAGTCATAATTCTCGTATGAGGTTTGTTCTGTCATTTTGAAGCTGGTCTTGTAGGATTGCTTGCGTAATGGGATGCTAGTAGTTGCGGAACGCTCCCACAAAGCCGTGGAATGCTCTTCGAAATATACACAAAGAACTTATGTAGTGCGGGCTTCTTTATGGAAAGTTTGTGCGATATGAGATTGGTCTTCGTTCCTATGGTTCGCAAAGCTCCTTGTATTTACGCAGCCTCGTTGGCTAAGCAACAATCTTATCGGAGCCGCTTCCGCGCGCCGGCTACGCTAGCGACAGTTGACCTTTCATCGCTTTCTCGATCTTGCTCAATCCTCCCCAAAGAATTGCGGCGCATTTTCTTTCTTACCTTCTGTAGGAGAGCGCAGTCATTTAACGATGCTGTACCAATCATGACTTCCGATGCTCTAGAAGCTGATCGAGCAATGTCGAAGCCAGAGAGCTTCCTGCAGCCATTGCCCAATCTGAACGTGGTCACGAATGTGGAGAAGCTGGATGCAGGATTGCGGGGCCTGGACCACTGTGAGCATCTATTACAGATGCTTTAGTCGCTTGCGTTGCTAAACTGCGAATTAGACAGGACGAAGCTCCCATTATGGCGCTACATACCTCGTCAACGACTCATTCCTTTAGTACGCTGGGAGACACCGCATTTAGCAGTCATCCAGAGAAGCGTTCGATCTCCAGCTCTTGACACGTACTTTTCAATAACGGCGAACCTTGGAACTCATACTTTCTTCATGGTGTTCTTACCGATACTCTTCTGGTGCGGCTACACAAGTCTGGGAAGAGGCATGGTACACGTGCTTGCTTCAGGAGTCTTCTTTAGTGGCTTCCTCAAGGACATGTGGTGTCTGCCGCGCCCGCTTTCGCCTCCTCTGAACCGGATTACCATGTCACGTTCCGCGGCTCTAGAATACGGCTTTCCCTCGACTCACTCAACTAACGCAATGTCTGTAGCAGTTTATGCGCTCTTCATGTTGCACGCCCCCGACTCAAGTGTACCTTCTGCTGTTACGATTGGATTGGAGGCCGCCTCTTGCTGCTATGCTGTCTCTATAGTATTTGGACGACTCTACTGTGGCATGCACGGATTCTTCGATGTACTCGTCGGCAGTGCACTAGGTGCTTCACTTTCCATTGTTCAATGTCTATATGGTGACAGCTTTGATCATTTTATACATACCGGGTCTTTCAAGGCGCCCACAGTAGTCATTCTAATCATTCTGGTCCTCGTACGCATCCATCCAGAGCCGGCTGATGACTGCCCATGTTTCGATGATAGCGTCGCATTTGCTGGAGTTATGATCGGCGTTGAATTGGGCAATTGGCATTTCGGTCGGAGCGGCCGTGCTTGGAACGAGCCCGTTCTTGCAACCGTGCCATTCGATCTCGAAGCTCTCGGCTGGCCCAGAACGATCGCGCGCATCGTCATTGGTGTTCTAATGGTCTTCGCGTGGAGAGAAGTCATGAAGCCAGCTCTACTGAAGTCACTTCCGCCAATTTTCCGGGTTGTAGAGATGCTTGGGTTGAGCCTACCAAGGAGGTTCTTTGTACAGGCTTCGTATGTCAAGGTGCCTACGGATTCCTTACACCGTGTGCTGACTAGCGTTCAGAGAATACCAACAGGTCCCAAATCAGAAAGATGACAATGTTATACCAGCGGTCTCTGAAATTCCTTCACTGCTCACTTCTTTTCGTCATCCTCGCAGGAGTCGCTCAGTATCAGTGGGACCCCAATCTGAAGCCGACGCCTACGAGACCCTAGCCTACCGCGACAAACGTCGCAGACAGAGCAAGTCAGAAATGACCATGGCAACGCCAAGGATCGACGAGAAAAGCAGCTCGGAAGAAAACGGGCCTGGCTACTTTAGCATCTCGACATCACACAGGGTTTCGAGCAGACACCCAACAGCTGGCTTGCCAACACCAGCAACGTCCAATCTGGACCTCTACAAGTCAATGACTGAACCTGAGCAAGTTTTGTATACGCCCTTGACCCCTGGGACTGCGTCAGGAGCTAGTAGTCGCCGGCCAAGCTCAGAAAGAAGACAAGATGAGAGAGAAGAGCGTGAGATGTTCTCAAAGCTTGAAAAGCCTAGAGTACGATACGATGTGGAGGTTATCACCAAGCTTATTGTCTACACTGGTACGCTTGGCATTTCACCATTAGCGATGCTGATTTGGCTAATAAACTGCGGCAGGTATTGCCTGGATCGCTGTCGAAGGCGCTCCCATTCTGTTTGAGACAATCGGCCTCGGGCTTGGTACCCAACCTGGCTGAAAGACGAGACGGTGATTCCCGAGAATACAAATATGCTGAGCTATATTTGCCGAAGTATCTGGTCAGTTGCACGGTCCAGCTTTTGAGGGCCCAATATCACAAGCCGAGCCTCAGAAGCTCCGGAATCCAGTATCAAAGCTGGGCAATTACCTTGTCCATCCTCAACAGGGTCGAAGGCTAACCCTCTTGGCCGAGACTGGATCGCTGAGGCGAAATGTCTGGTTCTCTATATGCTGTAAGCAGGACGAGTCCACGCGTCCCTTGGTTCTAGCCGTAATCGACGGACGCGGCGGGTTTATCGTAGCCTACGTCACGCGGTATTTGGAAAGGCATGACAATCTGTGGAAGCTGGCTAGCTGGGTAGTTGAGAACCACTCGGGGCGGGAGTGGTCCTCAAGTGTCCATGCACAATCGGCTCTAGCCGAAAGATGCGCACTTGTAAAAGATGGAAGGTCTATGGATGTTGGGCCAGTACTCTGCTTGCTTTGAATGCAGTGGCAGAACAAGTCCTGCTGTCTATCGGTACCGCAGCAGCACTGGGGTCTTCATGGATCAACGGCTGGATGTGCGCGCCGGGAAAGTCAGCAATGTCTAGCAGGTGTCGGCTAAGACTTGTATGCTAGTACCACGTATGGTAGCTACATCAGTAATTGGTCTACATCTATTTCCTATTATGAATAGAGGTTCCTCGAGTTGAAAGGCGCTTCCTGAGGTCTAATGCAGCTAAACCATATGTGGTTTGGTGGCTCGATAGGGTCGATAAGGTACCTTAGATCCTCCAGCAGGCTTCTCCATAGATTCATCATCCCTACTACCCACACCAGACGTACCCAGTCCTTTTGATCCCTCCTTCAGTGTGCCTTTAGCAATGTGATCGTGGTGCTATAATCAAATGCTATGTCGACTTCACGACGCCATTGAGACCCAGATTTTCGGCTCGTACTCTGAACATATTAAATCCGTAGCCGAAGCATGCAAGGTATTGATTTCGAACGACTCGGCAGTCATCGAAGTAGGAATCCAACTGACAATAGTTCAACATCACGTATCGCTCTCATTGTTCCGAAAACACGCGTTCAGAAGATCAAAGACGCCCTAGAAGCGCATGGAATTTTGGATAAGACCGTCAAGATCAGACCAGCTAGACTTGAGGAACAAAAAGCCTACTTCGAGGGGACTTCGATCGAGCCTCCACTTGATGTCTTTTTCATTTCTACTAAGCTTTCCGTGGGCATAGAGCGAGTCAACTCGGATACTTTACCTGTAAAATTGGACCTACTCCAGTCACTTGGGCTGGTGGAGAGTGAAGCAGACATTGGCATAATTGACTTCAAGCAGAGTCATGACATTCGTGGCTTCCTCGAGTCTGGGAGAGTCTGTGAAGATGGCTCGAGTTCTTATCAACCATCTGCGAGCGAAACATCTTCCATCAACCCTTTGGCTCGGACAATAGACTACTGGCTTCATCAGCTGCCTCGTGAGGAAGCCGAGCGGTCTTTCACCAGAGATGCTGTACCGTCTTACAGCTGGACCTACATGATCTATCCGCCTCTTCTCCTTCTCCCACCTACTGCTCTATCGAACCTATCGTCCATCTTTGCCTCGAAAGGTCAAAGTATTCCCAAAGATTTTTCTTCTCTTTGGTGTCTTCTATCCAGAGACTTCAAAACATCGCATATCGCTTTAAATGCTCCGATACTTGCAAGTGTTTCAAAAGAAGCTTCGGCCCAAGGCGGAGGACACCCAGAGACGAATATTCTCCGCTCTCCCACAGGCCTAGCACCTTTATACGGAGAATTTGGGCCAGCTTTATCGATGAGTCATGTCCCTACTATCGCAGACTTCTCTTCGGCATTCTGGTGCACAGCTCAACAGAACGGTATCTTCCAGACTTGGGCTCCGCGTTATACGATGTTCTCTCGTGGCAACATCTCGGAAAAAACACGCATCCTAAGCCTCAAAACACTGACGGAAAAGCAATTGGGAAGTCGGCCAGAGGAGACAAGTGCTGTGGATCTCTATGCAGGCATTGGATACTTCGCTTTTAGCTATGCTAAGGCCGGGGTTGGCAAAGTGCTGTGCTGGGAGATCAATCCATGGAGTGTTGAGGGGCTAATGAGGGGAGCGCAGAGGAATAGGTGGGCCGTTGAAGTCATCACAGATGGTCAAGCATTTAACAAGACTATCAACCAAGGAGAACGCTTAATCGTCTTTCAAGAAAGCAATGAGCACGCAGCGAGGAGAATAGCTGCCATGAAAGACAGCATCCCTCCCGTCCGACATGTCAATTGCGGCCTCTTACCCTCTTCGAAAGACAGCTGGGAGGTAGCAGTGCAAGTGCTCGATCCTACAGGAGGATGGATTCATGCGCACGAGAATATCGCGAAAAAAGACATAGAGGGCAGAACGGAAGAAGTTGTCTGCATTTTCAATCGACTAGTCAGGGACCACTGTGTGCATGAGCCTGAAGAAAAGTGGAGCGTTCAATGCGAACACGTCGAGCAAGTCAAGAGCTACGCTCCTGGTGTAATGCACTACGTTCTGGATATATCCATCTCGCCTCCAGGATGAGGTAAGGGGGAGATACATCTAGCATGTCTGAACTCATCAGCACCGTGATCCAAGTTTGGAGCCGTTGGGGAGCCCAAAACCCCAAGGACCAGTCAGGCATACCCGCACCTTGGCAAGAAGTGGAAAGTCTAATGGGTATGCACCCCTTATTTAGCAGTTTTCAGGTCATGGGGTCCAATAGCTTCTCTGATTGCTAGGTCATGAGGAAGTCACGCCGGGGTTTATCGGCTTTCACCTCCATTGCAAGAGACTCTAGGTACATGACTCTCAAACCCGATCTCTTTCTTTGCAGTCTTTGTAACCCCGGTTATCAAGCATAAGACTCTACATGAACAAGTGGTCTGCATAGTGTTGCACTTCGCTGAAAGACCGCTATACGTTCTGCATGAGACACGTCTGCAAACATCATATCTGCGCTCATTCCCTGTCAAGGATCAAAGATTGTGTCGTGCTGTTCTTGCTTCGTGCTTCTCGGGCTGGTCTGACTGATCCGCCGTTTCTCCGTCATGGAGAAACATGATGTCCACGAAGTTGTCAAGATCATTCTTCTGTCGTCGAGTAGTCAGCACACGAAACCTCGCCAAAGGTCTTCAAAACCACTTACCTCATCGATTATGGCCGCTGTCTCACCGTCAAATTCCAGCAACTCCACCAGCTTAGGCTTCTCCATCCTGCTGAAAAGCCATTGATCTGCAAGCTTGCGATCCCATTCTCGATCAGACGCAGCCCAACAAGCTCGCAGGACAACCTCCTTTTGACCACATGATTTTCGAAGTCTCGCCGCTTTGTGAGTGATTTGCTTCACGGTGCGGACATTGGGATGGCACTTTTTCGCAAGGATGTCAACAATTGTAGCGTATTTGACTTGACGTGAGGCGTAGTATAGGAGAACAATCTCTTCTTCGATGGTCCACTTTGGCATTTTGGGAGTATGAAGGGAACAGTGACCTTGGTGATCGAGCTGAGAGAGACGACAGGCGACCCTTTATTCATGTCTCATCTCCTTTGGTTACGGATCTCATAATGGGTTAGCTTCTCTTGGAACAACAAGCGAGTCGTCAAGACCTGCCTGCCGAATAGCTTCATTGCTTCGGCCATGAGCTCGAACGGCGCCACTAAGCCATGATCAACGGGCAGGAATCCTTCCCGAGAAACGAGGCTATTGTTTAAAAGCATCGCTAAGCTCACGACTTGGGAGACCAATGAGGACCGAAAAGGCCCAGCTTGCATAGAGTGTCTTTACAGGGACAAACTCTAGAATCAGCATTCTAGGAATGAGTATGCTTATCTACGCTAGAGCTCTATGGCACATGCCGTTTTTTCGCTGGCAATGAGCGCATTCGATGTCAAGGTCTTGGATGAGATGTCCGTTCAACTGACAATCTGAACTCTTGGCAAATTTGATTGGTGATGCGTGTTGCAGACGACATAGTTGAATTTGGGTCAATCCACGAGAGTCAGGAACTAGGTAGGCCTACGATGTAGGAAATCGCCAACCCTGGGGACGACCGAGATAGATCCACGGAGGTCACGGGCATCTCGAGAAGCGACTAGCTGAAGAACGGATATTCGTCGGAGGCTGCATGACTGCAGATTCGACCATCGTCCGACGGCAAGATTCAATTATCGCGGATTTAGTCGGTCTGTGGATAAAATTGTTAGACTCCGACATGACTGTTGAGGCTTTGGAAATCGTTTTTCAAAGAGTCCGCGGCTCTGAAAAATAGAGCTCTATGAAAGGGCTTCGATTGACAGAGATAGTAGGATGGACTGCGAGGTGACCCTTTTGACGCGGCATGTACCAGTCAAGGAGCGCAGAGATGGCTTCGACGCTGAATAGACGTGACAATCTTCAGGATTGGCTCCCATGCCTGAAATCCTGAAATGGGTCATATCCGATGTTGCTGTGCGAAGTCAACCTCACTACAGAATCCAAAACGTTTTGGTACTTCAAGGCGGAGACAGTTCATATTCGTTCACGCTACCCGAGTCGCATACAAAGCCCCGTTTTTGGCTTGGAAAATATTTAACTATTTAGCGCCATAAGCTTCTCTTGCGCGAAAGATGATCCTTCGACAAGATCTTCTAGTGTGCAGTACATGACGGAAAGCACTCGCAGATACCCAAACCCCACACGACGTATGCAATATAACAGCAGCAATTCCACAGCATCATCATCAACAACCCCTCAGCCGCCAGATACTAGCTTCACTCTCCTTCAGTGACTTGCTCCACCGCTGAAACTCAGATTATTAGACATTGAGAGCCATGGTATCCAAAAACTTGTCGATGTCGTGGTCCTGCCGCAGCTTCGTTAGCATGCGAGAAGCAGCTGCGTAATTTCAAAGTGCTTACCGGCTCAATGATGGCGGCAGTCGCACCATCAAATTCAAGCACTTTCTCCAGCTTGCCCTTCTCCATCATGCGGACAAGCCACGAATCGACGACCTTTCGATCCCATGGTCGAGCTTGACCGGTGTTAATCGTCGTGTTTTGCATTTGGCCTAGACCAGCGTCCTGAGAGGCATTTTTGAGTTTGCGCAACCGGTTGGTGAGACTTGCCTTTTTGTGGACAGAGGTATGACATTTATGCTGGAGGGGTTCGATGATGGTGCAGTACCTGATCTCACGCGAGGCGTAGTACAGTACGACTACCTCCTCCTCGGTCGACCAATTGCCCATGTTGGAATGGCTGAGGGCTCAGGGAAAGACGTGGTGGTGGGGCCGATATCTATGGCGTGTATATTCCGTGAAATCTGGCTTGTGCTGAAGACGGATCGTGACCAAAGGAGGGGGGTAACCTCTCTCTAAATAGTTCAAGCTCAAAGGTCGTTGCACTCACATCGCTGTACCTGACCAATCTCGGAGCAAAGGTGCAATGCGACCTTCTGTTGGAAAGCTTCGGTCATTCAGATCGAATGACGCTACGAAGCCCAGGACTTGTCACGATCGTCCGGCTCAAGAGAATGGATGTAATGTTGAATTACATTGCCAATCCTAGGAATTGGAACACTGGTTAAGATCGACTGGGTCTAGACCATGTGGACCTTATTGCAAAATCGTCTTCAGTAAATGACTCGGGTACGAGGGGGCGCGTCGTTAACACAGCACTCAAGAGCCAGAGAAGCTCTCTGCTCATTGACGTTTCCATTTTCCCCTCCAAGGATTTCTCACGTGGTCTACCGAAGAAGGCCGATAAGCTCGCCAGGTCCGAAGCGGATGGGCCGAATCCGCGGAATAACACTTCTGACCTAGCGAATCCGGTGCAATCTCCGAGAGTCGACAATTTACTGCAGCCATGACCGTCGCCACCAAACCTGCTGCACTCGGAAGACCGGCCCTCATCGACGAAGACGACGAAAGTCTCGAGAAGCTACAAGCAGCTTGACGAGTTCTCATCCGAGATTACGACGCTGCACAATGAGCTTTTTTTTGGCCAGAGGATTCTGTTCTAAATACCTTTGTAGGACTGTGTACAGCATGATTACGCAGACCATGAGACGACTTGTGGACTGATCTTCTCAGAAAGTATGATGGTCCGGAAGAGCAAACGGCTGTCCAGAAACCTCCATCAGATGTGTGGTCAGTCTCTGTAGAAACGAGAAGGCTGGTTCTGTCGCAACACGATCTTTAGAGAGACATTGATGAGCAGAAGTGCGCTGGATGGGTGGCTTCAGGGTTGATCTAAGTTGACAAATTTCAAGAGTGTTTGTCAAATTCTCTTTCATGTGCTGAGTGACAAGGTCTTAGTTTTTCCTAGCCTGCATTCTTGGCGCTATATGGATGTGCTCCCACCATGCTCCGCAATACCAGCTTGAACAAATCTCGAAATGGAGAAGCTCAGGGTGGTTTGAGGCGGAATGCGATCTCGACCGAACAATGCAAGTCGCATATCATGTCTGCTTCTGTATGAAAGCTGCTCGATTAGGTTCCGTGCGGCTGCATTTCATGCAGGAATAACACTTTTATCCGTCATTTCTCGGTTAAGGATTAATTGTCTCCATGGACCCATGCAGCGAAAACAGTGCAAGGTCTTCAAAGCCAGCGCCCAGAGAATGGCCTAACCCACCCCTCTCAAACACCCTTACTCCATCAACTATAGCCCAGATCTTACCTTAATTTCCTCAAAGAAATTCCAAAATGGCCTTCAATCCCTTACAGAAACAACATCCACTCACCCTAGGTCTTTCGGACAAACATGCGGTGCGACTATGTCATTCGCTTGTGTGGCCATCCGTTCGTCGCCGTCGATTGACGTTGTGGGATTCAGTGCCGACGAGGGTGGCTTACTGGGAGGCCAGAAAGGTGGAGCAGTTTGCTAATAGAGTCACGCTCGAGGTCACGTTGGTTGAGATGAGAGAAATCGCTGCTAAAGCTCACTGACATAGCCATGAGAAAGTCATCGAGGTGCCACCCGCAATAGCGTGTTGAGGGACACGGTGCTCTTGATTTGTCTGTGGTTGAACGCACGCACGCCGTAAGAGAGTTCTGCGACGGAACCCCGTAACTTTGCCTTATACATGGAGTTACAAAAGTTCATTCGACTTCGCAATCGGGAGATAAGGGACTTACGAAGCAATTGCACACGCTTCAAGAGAAGAGGAACAAACCATGCTTCATGTAATTGCAACATTACTATTGAGAATTGAAGCTACACCGACTCCACCAGCATGCCACAGAATCCCATCAGATCTTAGGACCCGTCACACTCTTCGCAACCCGGAGAATGCTATCCAACTCAGCCTGCGACGACCTCCCTAGCCCACACTCAGTGGCAAGCCCAAACGTTCCGACAAACTCCGACGCAGCCTTGACCCTCTCCCTCGTTCCCTCCTCATCCTCCGGATGCGGATATCCAAGATAAAACTCCGTAGTACCCAGTTCGAGCTGCTTTAATGGAGCAAAATACGCCACATCGGCACGACTCTTAGACACGGGCAAATGAATCCAATCGACGGGCCTCGTGGCACCTTTCAAGCTCGCATTCCCAACTTCAACCAGCACGGCCGTGTCTGTAGGCTCAACAAAATGCCTATGTCCTAGGTCACCATAGCAGAGATGGAAGCCTAGCGCAACACCCTCGTCCACAGCGGCAGCAAGTCTCAAGATCCCATCTTTCACAGGTGTAAACCATGCCGGTCTCGAGGCCACGTCCTCCAGGTATGCAAGTTCCTGCGCAACATCCCACTGGACAGCAAGATCACCGGCGGGAATGTGGTCTTGGATACGTCCCAGAGCGGCCAATAAAGATTCTTCGTACATGGGTTCAACGGTCGCTCTCCACGCTGGCTCCACCAAGGTTGCCTACAACCTTAAGCGGCGTCGGGAGCGGGACCTGGAAGCGTACAGCCTCGGGGATGACACCCTCGGCGCGGAGGTTGCAGAACTCGCGATACCCGGAAACGGCGTAGTCGTCGTACTCAACTGGCAGGAGCGTGACCGGCGGGGCATCCGGTCCGGGTAGGATATCGGGAGGCTTGGAGGTAAGGGGTCTTTGACGAAGGGGGATTCATTGAAGACGTCCCCTTGAAAGACAACGAATTTGCATCGTTTGCCGGTTTCGCCGTCAGGGATGCGGCGTAGAGGGGAGGGTAGAGCGTCACAGAGACGTTTGCTAACGGTACGCTGGTATGACAGACAGACGCTGCCTACGAAATGGACAGTGTCTGCGATCGCTGGTGTTCCTGCCATGGGCACAGTCATGTGAGAATTTGTGGAGAGGAGGACAAGATCCAAAACTGGATTCTCATCTCCCGTAAAATTGAGTGTGGCAAATATGTGGACGCCCTTCCCCTTGATGGTATAACTTCTTCCTCCCCAAGTTCAACAATCTGCCTGGACTTAGCTTGGAAAGTAACAGAGCGACTCTACACTTGGGGTCCATAATTCTATAATCGACTGGACGAGTGCAGATGCAAAAGCATTCTCTCAACGTGCTCCGCACTCACCCTGCCGCATAGATGCAGACCAGAGCCCGAAACCCACCGAAGATGATTACCTCCACTAGTGTTGCATCGGCTGCGCAACCTTCAGCCCCGTTCTTTCATCCTCCCATCAAACGATGTCACTCCCATCCTCCGACTTCAGCACCAAAATTCACCACTGAGAATAATAGCAAACAACGATCGGTTGACTGAACGCCGGCAAGCGGTACATATATCAGCAGGCGCACAGGAGGCGCGGGGCCGGCTGAACGCAGCAAATGTCAAATCCGTCCACCCAGCACAAGGCTGAGAACGTGCTATCCAACACGCACGATCCATACATACGACTGCGAAGTGTGGCAGACTTTGGTGGGTGGGTTGCTATTCACCGTGGCTGAGCGACGAGCAGGCACGTTGCGCGAAGGCAGACGATGGTAGCTCATCGCCAGGGCCGAGACAATCGTCGACGCTCTAGGAACATATCTGATAATCCCCGTGATGTGTATGTAATGCATCGGTAGGAATCGTCGAATCACCAACCCTCCGGGTTAGGAGGCAGGCACCTCCCGTTCTCACGGATGTAGTCAGATCCTGCAATTCCAAGCTCATCACACCGATCTGGTTGGAGCGGCTGTCGCCGCAAAATGCAGGACCCAGGTACGTACATTCCGAGGCGAATACCTAGAATGAGGCAAGGTTTTCGACGGTGGAGCCGAGAGGCAGGGTTGAGAGTTCGAATGACCATTCCAGCTCCGGAGGCTCAAAGTGTCAAGCACCATGGCAGTCATGCTCGTAAGATATCAGCGCGAGTGAACGGCAAATTCTTTGAGCCATGACCGACATCGTCGTGTTATTCGGAGGTTGGGGTGTCGCTTGGCGGAAAGGGCGCGTCCATTTCTTTCAACCGGTTTGAAGGTTCTTTGACAGGTAAGGTTCGCATACAATAATCATCTTGTCTAAAGTTCGACCGGTCAGCTCGTGCGCATAGACTCGCAAAGCCATCATATAGCCGAAGGCTCCTGTAGCCAGATGTTGCCCCTTTAACCTTGTGCATGGGGCCTAGCGATTCCACGCTGGGGAAGACGAGAAAAATTGGAGGATCGAAGAATAAAAATGATCATATTCTAGCTCACGACGTCCGTACTCTACTCCACACTCAATCCACTGACCAAAAGGCACCGCACCTAGCGTGGCAACACCCCCGGCACCGGCACACCCGCCGCCACCAACGTCACAAACACCACCAGCCCAGCCGCCTTATGCTCAAACACCGTCCCATGCAGTCCTGTAAACCCGCTCGCCGTACTCTGCCTCAACCTCGCCGCCACCGTAGCCACGAAGCTCCACGGGATCAGGGTAGTCCTGCTGAAGAAACTCAATTCAAGTCCGCCGTATTGAAACCGCACCATTTGGCCCGGTATACCGTCGAGGATTGCTGGGGTGGTGGCTGAGAGAGTGGGTGGGAAGGAGGAAGAGAGCAGGTGGAGTTTGGTGTAAAAGAGGGAGAGCTTGGCCGCGGCGGGGAGGACGGGGAGGAGAGCGGACTGGGAGGTTGTGGGGTCAGTCAGTATTCCTTGTTGGGACAGAAGTGACCCGTGGAGGGGTTCTCACGTAGGTGTTGGAGCGGGAGGTCCCTAGATTATGGTTTCAGAGTCAGCATTGCCTTTCCGAGAGGGTATGTGTTAAGCCTTGGAACATGTATACAGAGTAGACATTCTCAAGGAACTGTCTCGAGGCTCTAGATCTGGTCCAGAAGAGGAAAGATGAACTCCGAAAATACGTACAGCCGTTGCCCCATGAGCCGTAAGAGAGGCCGCGGTTGCTGATAGACTGGGTTTGGGGGAGTGCTGGAAGGTTGCGAAGTGGGCCGGGCACAGCTTTGGCACTGATTTCATGGTTGGCCCCATCTTTGGTGATTGTGAAAGACGTAGGTGTTGCACTGGAGAGTATGCAGAAGGAGGCAAGGATAATTGATACGGTTGAGAGCCGCAACGTCCAAGAGAGATGCATTCTGTGACCATAATGAAGCAACAGATTCAGCTGCAGAGCTTCTGAACTCGATGACAGCTTTCCAAGGGCGTACAATTTTCCTCCAAATTCGTGCATGTCTCAAGAGCAGGGTAGTGGCAACACTGGCGCTGAAGCGCATGAAGAAAAGGGCGCAGTAACTCACGGCTGAGAAACGGCCGTGCGTTCGATCGTAGGCCCAAGCCCTTGCGTATCGCTTTTCCAGCTCAATGCGCCCGTAATTGATCATGCGAGCCCCATTCACCCGTCGCCCATTCTAGCCAACACCAGGAGACTAACATACAGTACAAAGTACGTCACGGGATAGTTGACGAAGAAATACCGACCAGCAGCATCCCAGAATTTGATCCAGCAAAATAGCACAGTGAACGTAAAGTAGAAAAGCCGATGACTACCAGCGCCTCTAGTACCGCCGAAACTTCTGGGGTATGTTCTGCTCCACTATGGGCATTCGGTCCATTTGCTCCTGGTACTCTGCCTGAGCATCCATCTCATCATGTTTTCGGAAATGGGCGATGTCTTCAGGATGCGTGAGGTCTTCTTCTCTCGTATCTATCGATAGTCGATCCCGTTAGTAGACGGTAGCAGAGAAGGGTTAGGAAGGAGCGACCCACTCTCATCATGAAACTTCTCGAAATGATGGATTTCGTACTCATACTCGTCATCGCCATGATGTCCGGGTCCAGTCTGACATTGGAATCAAGGATTAGCATAGACTTCATGACCTTCTTCATAGCAATGGCCGAAAAAGACTCTGCACGGGTCCCAGTATGCCCTGTGGACATCCTAAGTGTGAAGGCATCAAGACAGTTGAGATCCAAGAACGACTCTCCCAATTGTCTTGACCCATCTTGAAGCCCGAGCCCAATGCTTATTGTAACGGTTGTGACAACCTACCCCAAAGTCCGGCAACCTCTTCCCATTCTTCACCCACCCATCCATCCACTCCTCCCTACTAATGACCCCATCCCCGTCTTCATCAAACATCCCTATAACCTCTTGTACAACGCTTGTTTTCTTTTCCTGGGGCACATCCTTAGCGCTCTCGTCATCTAGCCCGTACGTTCGTCGGATCTCGTCGGGGCTCCATTGGCCGGACGAGTCATAGTCGTGCAAGGTAAAGAAAGCGGAGGGATCGAGATTCGCAATGTGATGTTCTTCGGCCATATGACGCGTTGCCCAGTCGGCGTCGTCGGAAATGGGGACCTGGTGGCCGTGGGAGAGAGCTGTAGGGAGGAGGGTGAGGAGGGCGAGGGAGATGGAGGTAGCGAGGTGGGAGTGCATGATGGGTCGGTCGAAGTGGATGATGGAGTCACCAGAGTTGATTGGATATGCTAGCGATTCTAAGTATCATCAAGTGTGACTGATGAGGTTCAGAAAACAAAGGTTGTTTGTTTGTAGGGGGGTGACAGATGTTGGAGGGTCGAGGGCTTGGCATTCTATCTAGCGTGCTCTGGATGTCTTTTATTGTCTACGCCTGAGAAGAGGGGAGGGAGGACAAAGAACTTCTTGAATAGCTTTGGCAATGTTTAGATCGAGAACGTAATTTGTCTGGCATCTATCTTTGCTTTAGTAGAGAAGGCAGACAGACGTATGCCGTACGCTCTGTTCTTCGAGTCTGCATTATCTTCTTCAAGTCTGCATTAATCTCAAGCTATGTCCAAGTCGCGCGTGATCTTTGTTACCGTAGACGCCCTGGTATACGCCATGCGATTTGGACGCGAGTCCGTTTCCTGTAGATAGCGCCAATTCTCCGCCGATGCTCCTGGTATCGCTTTTCGAGATTGGGAGAAAGAACACCTCATATGCAAAGAAATTCATGAACGACGTAAACCTGATCGTAGAAAGCTAGACTCAATCGTCGATGACGATTGCTCCATCGTTTGAGTCATCAGCAATAACCAGATCATCGTCCTGGAAGCCGATGGCTTTGGAAGGCATATGGATCTTGCCACGCTTATTGTTTTGCTGTAGACCACTTTCAGGTTCTTCTAAGCTTCGCTTTCGCTTCGTACCGACAGGCGAGGCTGTCACGTGGCCATTGGTGTCCCCATTGGTGAGAGGAGCTGGTGCATCTTTGGGTTTACGGGCGATGTCGAGTTTCTTGGGAAGCTGAACGGCTTTGGTGTCTGCCGGTAAGGTCTTCTCCAATATAGCGAGCGATAGGTTGACACGAGGATCATCTTCATCATCGTCAATGACGGTCAAGAAGCTGTCTGCTTTCACTCCGAGATCGCTGAATTTCTTCGACAGATTGTCATCTAGGTCTGGATCGTACAGGGTCCCGACTTCATTGTTAATGCTGAATTCATCTCCGTAGCCCAGTTGCGTCTTCAGGATATCTTCAACTAGATCTTTGAGCGTTGCTCGGTCAGGGTCGAGAATCAGGGTCGACGACATCACACCGCAGACATTACAGTTGGGGTTTGGTGGCTTCAAGGTATCGCTGTTGATGACACGGGCAGCCGAGCGCTCGAGGAAGACCATTTTAGCTTTGTCTAGATCTCCTCGCATGACCTTGAAAGCTTGCATGACGCAAAGGCTGGCGGTAATGGCATTTGTTGTCGCAATAGCGGGAATGATGTTACCCGCCATTTGCTTGATATCAAACTTGGACTTGGACTCAATCCCGAAAACGATAGAGCGGAGGTTGGCGCTAGCTGCAACGAAGTCGAGGGTGTCCTCATCATCTTTGTCGAATATGAGCACAGGAGCTGCAATGTCAGCTTCAGATCGAGCCTGAGACGTCTGCAGTCGGGTACTCAGGCGGCGAAGACTGATCACGTTAGCGGATCTGACGAGCGCTCGCACTCAGGAGAACGTACCTGTCACAGAACACAGTGAAGTTCTCGGCTACCGTCCACGCCTTCTGGTCATGTTGCGCAACAGATGGTTTTGTTCCAGATGCCCCTTTAGAGACCCCATCAAAGTCAAGAGCGTTGGGCTGCTTCCTTGTCTTCCACATATCCTCCATACTCCGTAATCGATTGATGTCATCTTTAAAGACCTTATCGAACACTTTGCGAGCGAGGTCATCCGAACCCATCGATTGCCGTATGCTATTGAGCGCCTGCGACTCTTGCCTAAGGTTCTCTATCTCCTTAGCGTTCTCACTGTCCTCTGAATGATCGAATTCGGGGGTCTCCTCCTCGCTGGTCCCAAACAATTCGGTGAATAGGTAGCTCTTCGCCCATACTATGCAATGAATCGGCTGACTGGGAGTACTCCTGATAGTGCAGACAGGGAAGCTCTTGGGCACTTCTTTGGTACTACAGTCGTAGCATTCGGTTTTGCCCTGAAAAGATAAGCTTTTTGGTACCACTGCAAGACATTCGTGCGACTAACCTTGATGATGGGCTGAACCTGCCCATTGAATCCCGTCGTACCACTCTCAATCAAGGCAACGTCCGCAGCCAAGCACATCTTGTTGACATGCCGTCGCGCATCGAGGTTGTCAAGGGCATTGAATATAAGTGCGAAGCTCTGAAACCATTCTATATTGAATTGAGGATCTTTGATGTTGGCATGGTGCGCCTCGAGCTTGATGTGAGGGTTGAACTTGGCGGCGCTCTCCTTTGCGACCTGAATGAAGTATGAACAAGTGTTTTCCCAATGGTAAAGTATGATAGCCCACCAAAGCCTTAGACTTCTTGATATGCTCTTGACGAAAGAGGAATTGACGGTTGAGGTTGCTGAGGTCGATGGTGTCCAGATCAACGATGTGGATCTCACCGAAGCCGGTGAGAACAAGATTCTTCAGCAGCTCGCAGCCAATTCCTCCAGCGCCGACCATCAGAATGCGAGACTGATGAATGCCACTATCAGTAGAGGCTGAAAACCGAAGGAGGGAAAGAACAAACCTGTTTGATCCTAGGGTATAGATAGCCCAAGGACTGCTTTGCGAATCGATCTCGCCCCATGGCTGCGTGGGGTACTTAGGAGGGTTAGGGAGAGGTGATAGAGTAATTGGTGAAAAGAGTATATGAGGGTGACATAGAACAAAAGGAACGACAGTAAGAAAGACGGGAGTAAGATGAAGAGGAATAACAAGAGTGATCACTTTGACTCCTCAAATGTAAAGCTTACAACATACTTTACTGTAAAGACGCGCTTACCGCTAGTACAACATACGGGGGCCGCTAGCGCACCTGGATCTGATCGTATTTAGAGTTTCTGTTATCAGATCGCTTTCACTGCCAGTGGTCACTCCTTTCTCTCACTCCTTCTCTATCTTGTCCTTCTGTACTCTATCTTTTCCTTACTTTGGAGGCTTTATGTTGTTGTTATGTTTGCGCTTTTTTAGAATATTGGGGTTGAAAATTCGGTTTCACAGCCTAAGGCAGGCATCCTACCTGCATTAAAACTTCTCGGAGCATTTGCCGTATCAAGGTTACACTCACTGCATGACACCTCTCCGGATTCGTTGTTCTCGGAATGTCAGACGATGAGGTGGACTCCGATCTTTTGGAGCTCCTCCGCAAATCCCTGGGCATAGATGGCAACAGTTCGCCTAGACCTGCTAAAACAGGGGTCCTGGAGGATGCGGAATACATCTACGACAATTCTACTGACGTGGCATTGGACATGCGAGGGACCAAAGCCGCTGCTTCTTCGATCTGGACATTGATACAAGAAAAGCAATACAGCACTCGAGACTGGTCGAAGCATGAACTGCATCCCAAAGCCAAGGATGAAAGTACCGTGGATTTCATTTTTCTTATGGATTTGCTCAACTTTTGCTTCTGGTCCGACGGTGCATTACCCGAGCAGTACGCCGTTGAGTATCGCGGCAAGACGTGGACGGGCTACTGGAGCCTTGTTGCGGCCATCCAGCGAGCTCTCGATGAAGGTACGGGTTGGAGTATGTGTTCAATTGGGTGGAGGCTTACTGGAGGCGGCCTTCAGGAATACCGATAACAAGCCCATCTTTCTGGATAAATGAAGGGAAATGCACCGATGCTTTACTCCAGCATGTATTCAGAACGTCGGCCAATTCCCCGCCAATGCCTCTTCTGGGAGACAGGATTTACTGCTTACGAGAGGCTGGATACGTCTTACGAGACCAGTTTGAGGGGACTTTTACCACTTGCATTGAGCAATGCAAAGGATCTGCTGCCGCTCTAGTCAACCTCATCGTTGACAATTTCCCCTGCTTGGACGATCGTCACAGGTTCGAAGACACCACAGTCCGTTTCCACAAGCGGACACAGATCCTAGTCGCAGACCTCTGGGCCTGCTTCGAAGGCGAAGGCTTTGGCTATTTCCACGACATCGATCAGATCACCATGTTCGCAGACTACAGAATCCCTCAGATGCTCCACTCACTCGGCTGCCTCCAGTACAGTCCACCTCTAGAGTCTCACATCCGGCAAAGGAGAGCCATTGAGAGCGGTCACCCGTGGGAGATTCAATTGCGTGGATGCAGCATCTGGTGCATCGAGCTTCTGAGGCGGGAGATTCGGCGTCAGCACCCGGAGACGCACCTCAATGCTATCCTGATCGATTTCTTCCTCTACGATACCATGAAGGAAATGGAGACGAAAGGCCATGACTGCATCCCACATCATCGCACTAGAAGCATCTGGTATTGAACTGGACTGTGCCAGGTCTCGAGGAAAACTAACTGAACCTCCTGCGAGAATGCAGGCTCGATGTCATCTTGAACATTCAGGACTGGTAGGCAGCAAGCCCCTCATTCAACCAGAAGCAGGGGATGAGACCCTCAAATTTTGGAACCGTTCAGCGAAACAGCCCTTGAGACATTTGCTTGAGCAACTTGATGCCATTGGGTATCTCAAAAGCAGGCTTCAAGGCCATAGAATAGACGCTAGATCAGGCCCCACGGCCGTAGAAAAGTTATCTTCAGCAATGGAGCATTAGCCATGCAATTACGATCGAGTCTGCTTCGCTCTTTGGCCTTAGCAGCCAATCATCGAAAACCCCTTCCCCTCCCCTGCCCTCTCCCACCACTTCTCCCTCCTCCGCCTCTACCCCTATGAACGCCCCCACCCCCACCTCTTCCGCGCCCTCTGCTGCCAGCGCTAGAATTCTCGCTCTGGATCTGTAGCCCTTTGTTCATCCTCATCTCCTCTCTCTCCTCCTCACTGGCTTCGAAATGATTGGGTATACCGAGCATCTCACAAAACGCCTTGGTCTGCGGATTCGTGTACTCCCTCGGCTGCTCTCTGCCCACGCTGCCAATAGCAGAGCCGTCGTACACCAACGCCGTGATATCAAAGCGCGTCGGCACCGCCATCTTCCCCTGTTTGACCAGATGTTCTTCCACCCACTCTTCCTCCTTGGCTATCAAAGGTGTATAGACTGCTTCGCCTGGATCTCGGGGAGAGGGCAGGTGCGGGTCCTGAGAGCCGAAGACGCGGAGGATGGCTAGCCATTCTTTGTCGTAAGTGAGAGTTGGCGGAGCAGGTGGGGTTGAGGGAGCGAGGGGGTCAATAGATAGGAGTTGGAGGAATTTGCGGTTGGGAAGGCATTTGTCTAGGGCAAGGAAGTTAGTCGTAAGGTTCGTGATCGCTGGCGGCGGAGGAGGTGGTGGCGCTTTTTTGGATAGCTGAGGGGTCTTGGGGCGCGCGAATGAGGCGGGGAGCTGTGAGCGGAGGTCCGACGGAATAATAGAGGAGTCTGGAGGCGCTCGAGGGTTCGCTGGTACTTGGGCTGTATTTGCGGCATCGTCAGAGTCCATATCAAGGTCTATCTCATCGGTATTCTTGGCGGGAGTAGGAGGCTCCGCTGGAGGGCCCTCGTCCTCAATATCATTTTGATTCTCCTCCGTCTTCTTTATGCCATTGGTACTCTCACCGTTCATGGCAGGCTCCAAGCCCCCAGCTTCCTTGCCATAGTCCACAACCGCAGCGAACTTGCAATGCAAATGCGCCGCAAACCAATGAGGCGGCCTCAACCGATCCATCACATATCTTGCCGCCGAGCTCCCTAACGTCCCAGCCCTAGCATCTGCCTCAAAGAGGTCTTTCTTCCTGAACAGCGCCTTCCAATCACCCTGCCATTCCACACCCCTCGGCCAATCGTGGCTAATCCCCAGATCTACCTGTGTCCTCAACAGCAACAGCTTCCTCACGTCAATCTCCCGCACATGGTACAGACTCTTTATCTCATCCGCACTGTACGGCAGCCTCTCAAAGTGGGGCTTGTTGTAGTTGTAACCCTTCCATATACCACTGAGCCCAGCTATGCGTAGATCTCCAAAGCGAACGACATTGGCAGCACCTAGGTAGTAGATTTTGGGCGCTACCCAGCCACCGTAGTATAGCTCTTGGAGGTGGGAGCTGGCTTCATGATTACCGCCGACGAAGAGGGTGAGGTAGGGTGCAAGACGGGCGCCGCTGTAGTATTCGTGGAAATCCCCTATAGCTCGGAATTTATGGGGTACAGACATGCAATTGAGATCGTAGCTATTGCGGACTGCCTGAGCATGTTAGATATAGCTCAGTCTCGATCCTGGAGGGAGGGCGGACCTGGAAGTCGCCGCCGATGATGAGGAGGTCAATGCCCTTCCACTTGTTGATCTCGCAGGTCTTTTCGACGGAGGCGTAGATGGCGTGGAGGGTGCCATGGCCCTGTCTCTTCGTCAGTAAGGTAAAGTGAATCGTTAGAGATGATTCTTACGCAACCCTCGACTGCGATGTGCATCTTATAATTATTTTTTCAGAGTCATATGGAACCACTGCAGGTGACCATGACGCTCTCGGACCTCGAGTATCAAGTGTTCGAGCCAAGTGAGCTCTCCATTAATCACATGGGTTTTCGACTAAGAGATCTCAGGAGATTGAGCTCAGAGCGGTGGAACGATGAGAGGTTGGCGAGGAAGGAAGGCGACTACTGAGACAGAGGCACGGCAACTACTCTACAACTGAGCAACCATGACGGGCTTAAGTCATACATGTATATTGTATGAGTTGAATAGTGTCAAGTGGACATCCATTCTAGAGTATGAAGTCAAACACAAATGATATAACAGAGGGTGTGAGTGTGAGAACCATAGAATTGATGATTTAGAGTAGCGTATTCAAAATTCCTCTGGTTGTCTTGGCAATGGGTTCTGTCGCGCAACGCATCGATTTCATCTACCAACTTCACAACTGTAAGTCGAATCTCAGAATAACTAGGAAATTTAGAGTCGCGAGAACATCTAGTAGAAATGCTATATACAAAAGATTCAGGTTTGAAATACTATTTCAGTAACTAGGAGTTGAGAAAAAAGAGTAGTTGCCCTTGAGCGACATGATCCGCCTCACCTAAGGTACCTTACTCGTACTCTAGACCTTAGAAATTCGAACCTTCAAAATGTACCTTATTCAAGATCACACAATCGATATAATTACGCAAGCTAAAGGTTTCCATTATCTTCAAATCATGGTATGTTGCTCTACCCTTTTTTTCTTATGATCGATGTTTTGTAATTGGAGTAATTTGAACCAAGGCGTAGTCATCTCACGATGGATCTTGGTGTCATTGACCTTCGTTCGTCAATAGGTCCATTCAGGACCTCGCTGTCGTCGCCGTCATGCCTTCCCAAGGGTTTTTCAAGACCAAGAACCCAGAGTTCAACGAAGCCTTCTACTCCGTGATGTTTCCTCGATTCAAAGGGCTCGTAATACTGCAAGCACGAGTGGGACGCAAACACCACAAGCATATAGAGAGATGTGCTCCCTACTGGAGCGACAATTGTCCTTCAGGCTATTTTGGCTCGGGTTACCTATGATTCAGGCCCATAGAAAACTCTTAACAGTAGGGAAAACAACAGTATCTACATCATCCATATAGACAATTTGCGTCTTCGACTCTTAGGGAGCAAATTGGGCCCCAAATTAGCCTAGCATCATTGGGAGCAATCCGAACCCTGCATGATACCTCAAGTTTGCTTGGCTTACATCCCATCCTTCATGTCTTTATAGATTTGATGCACAGCGAATGTGACGAATCATCTTCCGCCAGCAATCCCTCGACCTCGACGGAAATGTCTTTAGAAGTAAACATCAGCCAGCTAGCTCAGGGCAGGATTCCTTGCGCAAATGTCAAAGAGGGGGTCGATGGCCCTGTCAATTGTGTCACCCAGGCCAACCTCATCTGTTCAAGGTGTTATTTGGTTCAAGTATGCTACGATAAGGACCCTCTTTATCATCAGGCGGAGGGAGGTCGACCTTAGCACTGACAGTATTCTCAGTACTGTAGCCATGGATGCCAAGTTACGCACTGGCCTCAGCACAAGCTCGATTGCAATTCCGCATTGAGGAAGCCTGGTTGGCAGCCAACCTGGGCCAGCGAAGGACGGCGGCCGGCCTTCATGTCAACTGTCATGCCATCTGTGAGCTTTGGACATCTGAGATTTCTTTACGGCAATATAGCAGCGTTCGATGTCCTGAAGTTGGCTCATAACGAAGGAAAAAAGCACAACAAGGACCTCAATTTATGCTTCGCTGCCTCCGGTGATCTTCGGAACATCATCGAGTCGGTCATCGGAATGCCAGACGACTACAGTGGCACATGCCTGTGCGTCGTCAACGACAAAGACCAATTAGTTGTGGCCCGCAACGTCGTGATGCTTCTCACCTCACTGGTTTTCCCTCCAGTCATCGCAGCAGTGCTCATCCTCCATATCTGGTATTCAGCTCGGCTGACACCTAAAATGTTGCAGGATGTCAAGGATCGCGTCCGACCGCTCATTGCAGAGGTGCTGAAGAAGATTGAGCAAAAGAAGGATGACGTCCTCCTACACAAGACATGGACCTTTGGTACACGGATGTTATCACTACGTCTGTATAAACAGCAATGGAATCTCATCCTGAGACTGTTTGATGCCGAGCAACCGGTCTCGAAAGGCGAGGAAGAACGACAATACGTTATGCTTAACGACACTCGGGTGGATTACCGAGAGCGCCGGCTCTTCACGATGTCTCCCTCAAGGCGTGTATGCTCCCACAAGATGCGAGAAAGTGGAATGCTTCTGCCATTTGGGTCTTGTTCGGATGGATACACCTCCTCAAATCCGTAAGTGGATACTCCTCCTAGCAATGACACAACTTACAGGTTCAAGGACATTGTTCGACAATGATAGCGGCGCATGGCTCCTCAAAGACTCAGCGGACCCCTTGGCAGGTTGGGCACTCAAGGACATTCTTGCATCAGGAGTCAGACGCGGAGGTCCGAAGGAAGATATTTATGGCCACTTGCATTTCCATATACGGGACTTGCTCGAAAACTTTTGTCAGAAGACCACTCTAATGAAGATCCACGTGGACATGTACTGTGTAAATGCGACCGAACTACCCTCTCTTCTTGATGACCGCCTCAAAGAGTCTGCGTTCGACAGAATCGAAATCTCCAACATTGCCGATGCCAACTACATCGGTCTTGAAAAATCGCTCTCAACATTCGGTCCCTTACTCAAGAACCGCAAGCAAAGCTCTCACGCAACACTCATTACGCTCTTCATGAACGCGGCCGAACAGGCGGCACAGGCCCGCGGCTATGATATCGAAGCCATGATGACAGGAATGCAGAAGATATCGCAGTTCTTGCCATCCAAACTCCCCGCGAATCAAAACCCGTCTAATCCTGCAGCTCTGAGGGCTTCGGCCGCGAAGGACCTCGTCCGGGACTACGACAAACTGTGGGCTCAGTACATGCGGATGTTAGACTTCCCAACCATTGTCAAAAAGACGGGCATGAAGCCGAAGGTGAAAAACACTGTAGTTGAGGCGTGGCCCATGAGGCTTTACAAGAGGTATGGAGAGCCAGGGGCCCAGGAGGACTTTGACAACCTTATGGAATCGGGATCCTCGGGAGATGAGCGTTATGTTGAGTGGATGAGAAGCGAGTAATCTACTTGCAATGATGGACTAGGGATCTGATAGTATGAGCCGTTGCGAGGGTGACGGTCCTTCTTGCTCTGGAACCTCTTCACTTGCATCTGGCACTTCCAGTGGGCGTGAGATAAATAGCGAATTTCTGTAGCCTGCTCTCTACAAGGCCTTCGAGAGAGTGACCGGACAGAACCTAAACTTTGTTCAAAGATTTGATACGAGAATGCAAAGAAATGACAATGGCAAGCCTTGTTTTCTATTCCTTTGCACCATCGGCCCATTTCTCAGCAGATACACCCATCCTGAATAGTCTTCACGTCTCAACATTCACAAGTACCTAGCTTAGATTGCGAGCATGAGTCACTAGTCCGAGTGCAGATCCATCGATGAGTCTCCTTTCCCCGTGGCGCAACGCCACGGAGGCCGCCAACCGATGGGTTGGCTCGTGGCTTGTGATGAGAGGCAGCCTCAAGGCGGTAGAATACTTGAGGATTGGCGAGGAAGTCAACAGGTATTTTATCAATAGGTAGTCAACGACGGGGCTTCAGTCATACATGTATGAATTGAGCAGGGTCCAAATGATTATGCATTCTACGAACTTAAGATCGGCCTGAGGGTCACATTTGGGCCAATACCATGTTTGACTATTCCCCATCGCTGTTGTACGACAAGCTGTTGCCTGAGTGCACACTGGCTTTGGTCTCCTTGACCAGCGCGGCGCAATCTGACCCATTTCCCTGTTCTAATGCACACCCTTTTCTGATCTGTCCCCCGTGCTAAAACCCTCCTGTCTACCTTCCCCTCGTCGATCGCTCATAATACTCTCGCTTCTCATTCTGCATGTAGAAGTACTTCGTATCATCCCTCCATGCGTCCGCATACCTATACAGACCCAGTCAGCCGAAGGACGTGTCACTCCACTGAGACAGATCCGAGTGAAGGGTCAACTCACAGCACGTACTCGCATCCAGACACGACCCAGACCTTGCTGACACCCTTGCTGAGCCCATGATCGGAGTACTCGTACTCGACCATGGACCCCGGAACCAGCGCACCGTAGTTGGACCACTTGATGTCCTTGAGCTCAATCTTGTGCTCCACGCCGTAGCGATGATCGATGATCATGCCCTTGCCGGTTCTGTTATCCCACCATGCCACGAAACCGTCGCAGTGGCCATACTCGTTGTAGTAAGGCCGGGGGATGTTTTCTTCCGGCTCGGGTGTGGGGTCGCGTTTTGGCAGGAGTTGACGCAGGGAGGGCAGCTTGACGAAACCATTTTCGGTGAGCTCGGCCATGGGGTTCGTTATGATCTCGTCCACGGAGGGAAGTTTAGAAGTTGCGTTCGTCTCTGAGTTCGTGTCGTTTTTGGAAAGGGTCTTTGTGCGGAAATGATGGAGGGCTTCCTGAAATAGGTGTTTGCGTGACGGCGTAGCCTGGGTCTGACTCTCCGGCGGTGGATTGTGTTGATTGGCTCTGGTCCTTCGCTTGTGTTGAACCTCGAGCAGCTCTATGTCGTCATCGTCAGGTTATCTCGAAAAAATCGCTGGACGTAGGCATAGTAATTTCATTATGCGGACTAGTAGTGATTAGGAAAGGTGGTCGTCGTGGCAAATTTCGGAGCGCGAAAGTACCCGTGTGAGTAGCGAACGGATAGGAAAAGTCCGAGTATCAGGGTGGCTCAAAGGGAGTAGGACAAGCTAGATTAATGGCAAAGAAAGGCTTGATTGCGAGTTTATGAGATGATGTCGACAATGAATGCTGAGGTAGATGGTAAGGCAGAGTGACAGTCTCAGAAGGACGCAATTCGGGAAAGTTACAGTCCGAGATGAGTGCCACTCCTAAGTCCCGGAGCTGTTATCAAGAAAACGTCGAGGAGTACCCTAGAAAGGCAGTGAATACTGGGATCGCAGCCCATGTTAACCCCGCAAGTTGTGCATCCCGCGGGGTGAAGCCATGCTGAACCGTGCCCAAGCTGCTAAAGATTAGCTCGCCTCGTGACCCCCTAGGGACCCGGACAACGCCTGTGCTTTCGCCACTAGTGCTTCTAATGTCCCGAGGTATGCACTGAGTGTCCTCTCGGGGCTGAAGAGCAAATCTGAATTGCAACGAGGTTGGAAATCCTTCGAAAGTACCTTCGTCATGGAATTCTAGCATCGCAAATGTACACAGTATTTCCCTTATGGCAAGAGAGACATTGAGAGTGCTGCCATAGATCGTTATTGACATCAGTCTGCTAAACGATGCGCTGTGAGCACAATGGCAGCAAACGGGTTTGGTCCTTTATACCAAAGCAGTGGGGAGGGTGACCTTGTCAAAATCAGAGGCATAGCTGAAAGAGTGTGGCATTTCATCCAGTATTCGTGGTCTGATCAGACTGGTGGAATTCCGGGCAGCTGCATGAACTCTCTGATTCGCTATCATGCACTCTTTGGCCTCGGCCTTTCTGACGTATTCTCCGGATTACTTTTGCAATGCAACAATAGGAGTAAAAAGCAGACACGGACCGCAGCGTGATGATTTTAGCCATCAGTCCTCACCCGATCTAATGCAATTGCCTGATTAATCCTTGATTGCCTAGAACGGTATGCGATGCGAGAGACGCAAAGAATGTAAAAGGACTACATTCTGAACTTAATAATCACAGTCAACCACGATTTCTTTTGATTGTAGACCACGACATCAGGCTTCCCCGGAGACCGTTGTTTCTCGAAGCCTTGAGAAGCTTCATAAGTTCCATTCCTACAGCTTGCCATCTCAGATTGCATGCATGGCGTCTAGCCTTCAGGCCTGGCCATTCGTCTAGTTTGAAGCATGTATCTCTCAATCAGCAGTCAGTCTTGACCTTGACGCCCTTGGTCAACTTCACTATCGGGGTAGTCAGCCGTTATGTGTTGGCTTGTGAAAAGCACGGAAGGGAAAATTGAAAGGTCGACAAACTATAACAGATACCGAATCTACCATTAGAGCCTCGAATAATGAAGGACAATATATCAGAACGTCTCTGGATGCGCATCTCTCAATCAAATCGAAGAGCTAAGGGTAGAAAGAATGAGACGTCGTACAAACTTGTACGTAAGGCTTAGCGTGGCGCGCATGCCGCGTTTACTAGGGTACTTTACAGTCAAGGTTTCTGTACTTAAGCAGCCTCTTCGATCCTCCTGGGTATGCGACAATCATCTCGCCAGAACATCTAATAATCCAATTGCCCGCTTCCCACCATATAAGCTTCCGCGATCTTCATATTAGGCTCTGAGCATCCTCTTCCCAGCTCTCAAACACTCTATTCCGTGTATCAAACCACTTCGGGTCCTTTTGGAAATAACTCCCTCTCCAGCAACCAAGATCAGACTGTCCAAGCTCAAGTGATGAACAAACGAGGGTGTGAAAGGTGTGAGAGGGCTTCCAGGACCGGTGACAAAGAGATGGTCTGCTGCTTGCATACAGACCACGTCAACGAAGCGTTTCCGAGCGACTCTGTAGTATGATTTGAGAATCGCGTGGATATCTTCCACTGTGTGTTGTATGTTGCCCATTATGATAGAATCGACAACCGCATTCATCTTCACCATACTTTGAAGGTCTGGTGACGATCGGTGCCGGAGGGAGCCTTGTCTTGATGACCTCGAATACGGACCATGCAATAGCCCAAATTGAGCTTATTTTTGGTCCCACGTACCAGATCCATCACAAGCTCTTCGCCACCTTTGTCCAAAAGATCTGGCTTTGTAAGGACGCCCAGAGTCCTCTGACCCAGCGGATCAGCTTCTTCGGCCAGGCTAAGAATCTCTTGCGTTGCGATGTCCACCGGAGCTGGGATTACCGCTAAAATAATGGTCCAAGAATCCTTGATATATGATTTGACTCTACGTCGCACAAGGATCATGTCTTCCTTCGTCGATACCCCTTCAGTCGGTGTTCTGAAAAGTCCAGGAACATCGACGACACTCAGATGCTGTCTCGAAGGTCCGCTCAACTCGATCTTCATCGTATCATCGCTAAAACTGGACCGCCCGGGGGCCAGCGAGTGACCCAGAGCAGGTATACTCATAACAATGCACGCCTATTAGCAAGTGTCAAAAAAATTCTTTAGCAGGGTGCGGTGGCCTTCCGGACCTTGGAAAGGACTTGTAATAATTCTTCGCCTGAGAGTGAAGTCATATGGTGGATCTTGAAAGCCTGAAGTCTCTCTTTCAATTTTTGAATCCGCCGCACTCGACGGGATAATTGAGATTGTGATACTCGAATTCTCGGCTCGACGGAAGACAATCTGCGTGGCGAAACGTGTGCCGCGCCCATTGTCGCGAGGGGAAGAATGATCTGTGAGGCCTTCCAGAGCCGACGACTTGCTACTTGATTGATCAGCGACAACCACAAGCTTCACCAGAACTCCAGTAGCCATGTATCTATAGACTGACTTGCACAAGAAATCACCTGTGGCAAAGGAATGTATTCGCTGGTGTTTAATTCTCGTAGAGCGTCAATCTTGTCAAGCAGAGTTGGGTCCGAATGCGAAAGGCCAACTGAGCGCTGGCGAAATATTTATCAAATCTTGCAGAGGGGTTCAAGACTCAGACTGCAGTCATGCGGAGCTCAAGCCACTCGATTGTACTCTCGTACTCGGTACTATTTTGATTGGTTGATGATCCTATCTGTGGCTTGAGTCCTAACAGCTGTTTCGCCGGATAAGTTGCACTACGTCTACTCGCTCAACATTGAGCCGATAGAGGCATATCATTCTACGAAGAACGAAGGAAAGACTAATTTCCTTCTGCTGAGAATTACCTGCCACTCACCTACGCTGCACAACCTTCCATTGACTAAGTGTCGCAAACGTCTTCTACAACTCGAATCTGCCGAGCTAACTCCGAAGAGTGACACATTCTCGGTTGGAGGGTCCGCACCAGGTACTCTTTTCCTGGAATGCGAAGACGCTACCTGGGTAGTAGCTTTGCTTTACTTTGAAGTCGACCACAGTGTTACTTCTACAGCATTCAAGGATTTCTAATAGCGCTACTCCACCGCCTATTGACCTCAAGCCTAGATCTTCCGAGCCGATATGGCAGAAGTCAGCGCGTAAGTCGACCCAATTTGATACAGAAGAAAATGGTCTGATCCTGCCTGCCTAGTAGTAAACCTTGCTTCGATTTCATGCGTGGGAAATGCAAGTATGGAAACAGATGCAAGTTCAGACACGAGTCTAAGCCCACGTCAAAAGTACCTCAACGCAAACCATGCCAATTCTTCGGGACATCGAAGGGTTGCTTCAAAGGGCGGCAGTGCCAATACTCGCACGAAAGTGTGGCAGGTAGCGGTGTCGGAACACATGCAACGCAGTCTACCGCTAGGTCCCAACCACTGACAGAAGTCGAAAACGGCTATCGAGAGTGGACATTCCTTATACCGAGGCAGAATATGCGGTACCAAGTTGTGGAGATTGGAAAATTCTTCAAGATGGGCTGGGACCTTACCAGCAAAGGGCATACAGAGACTGGGCAACAGATTATCAAGAAGCTAGCGACTGAGGAGGGTTTGGCCATGGTCAAGGTCCTTACAGATGAGCAAGCCGATGGGGCCACGCTAGAAATGAGGCTGCGTATCTTTAAGGACAAAACGCTCCCCTTTTTCCAAACCATTTCTTACCCGGACGTCCTGTCGTCCCTAATTTTAGAGACACCACTCGATACCATTTTTACTTTCCTTTTCGGCCCAAATGGTCGTCGCGCTATCAATCTGTTCAACTTTACCACTTCCGCTCTTGGTGGCCTTACGTCGGACGGAACAGCCAAAGACGAAGAGCTGGCATCGATCGCGGTAACAGCTAGCTTAGCAGTACTGGAGAGAGTTGTTGAGTTAAACCAAAGCGCCCAGGTCACCACCGAACTCACGTCGATTGCGAACGACTTTTCAGCCACAATTCCAGAACAATTCCTCGAGGCCGGAAGCCGAAGCTTAGCCCGTGTTCGCCAACGACTTGGTATTGGAGCAGCAATGCCTCTGTCAGAGGGCCGTGCCATAGAACAAAGGAGCTACCGACCGGTCTTCGAATTAGGTCAAGACCTTCCTGGCGCGCTATCTAAATTAGGTCCACGACATGATAACGATCATGCAAATATCTCCGACATCAAGATCCTGCCGAGTACCGAAGAAATTCAGTCCCCACGATTGGAGTACCTACCGTCGAGCGATCCCACGAAGCATCATCTCCCAGGCCTAGCGGGCTTACTCGATCGACAATTTAGACTTCTACGTGAAGATACAGTTGGTCAACTCCGAGACGCGGTTCAGATAGAATGTAAGCGGCTGAACAAGCCCCTCAACGCCCAAACGCCATCGCACGGACAGAAAGATGGCGCTCGGAGCATTCTCTATCACAAAGTTGCTCTGCTTCGACTGGAATTTGATCGGAAGAAAGGGCTCCAGGTTGTGGCTGAATTTGACCAACCTACCGCACTTGCGAAGAAAGGAGCTAAAGAGCGAGAAGAGTGGTGGAGGAACACAAAACAGCTACAGTTCGATGCTTTTGTATGCTTTGTCTCTTCCACGGGTCGTGCTATCTTCTTCTCTGTTTGCGATCCTGCTCCGACACCTCCGCCAGCAACAAAAGATGGTGAGGAAGAACGTGAAGGTCGATCAAATGGATATCGCAGAGCTCCGGATGAGCGACCGAATCTGTTCCGGGATGTGAAACGAGCGACGGTGGTGCTTAGCCCGGTGGAGGATAATGCGGAAGATATCACTTGGATCATCAGTAACCTCGGAAAGGCTCACAAGCTACGACACTCACTTGTCGAGTTTCCAGGAGTTCTGCTACCGTCCTTCCAACCAACACTGCAAGCTCTTCAAAAAATGAGCCGTACCCTCGATCTTCCTTTCTCTCAACTCATAGCTCCAGATATACAACATACAGGGGATCTTGACATACCTGCCCCTGCGTACTCGCGCAGGCCTGGCTTCACCTTCAATCTAGAGACATTGACTGGAGGAGAGCGGCTGAGACTTGCACCTGGACAGCCCTTCGATCTTACCGCACTTCGTGAGAAATCCACACTCGACGATGCACAGCAGCTGTCTGTCATAGACGCTTTGGGAAGATGCCTCGCGCTAATCCAAGGCCCGCCAGGCACTGGCAAGAGCTACACCGGTGTCGCTATCATCAAGACCTTGCTGGAAAATCGTAATAAAGCTAAGCTTGGGCCAATAATATGTGTATGTTACACGAATCACGCTCTCGACCAACTTCTCGAGGAACTGGTCAAGGGTGGTGTGGAGCAGCTTATTCGTTTGGGATCGAGATCGAAATCAGAGCTCCTCCAGGACTTGAACCTCCACCATATATCAAAGGAAGTCAGGCCCACAAAGGTCGAAGGTCATGAGATATATGAACTTTATGAAAAGTTAGACATCGCTCTTGCCGGAATCGAGGGGCTCATGCCAGGCCTTATGGATTCAACCCGCTGGAGCAATGTTAAGGAATATCTCGAAGAACACCACAATAGTCATTATGAACAACTTTTCGGGCGAGGAGTTGACGAGCATGGATTCCAGGAGGTCCGCGGTAAGAAGTTCAATATTTTGCATAGCTGGATCAAAGGAGCACCCCAGCGCATTGCTTCGAGTCGCCCAGTTCCGGAGCTTCTCGGCGTCAATTTGAAGGAGATGTCTGGCTCCGAGCGATTAGCTTTGCACAGATACTGGGTCCAACAACGCACTCGAGAACTCACCCGCCGTTTCCTACACGTTCTCAATTCATATCATCAAATCAGAGACTCGCTTCAAAAGTGCCACCAGGAGCGAGATCTGCGTTGCCTATTTGGCGCGCATGTCATTGGAGTTACAACCGCTGGCATGGCACGAAACTTAGATCTTCTCCGCCGAGTGCGAGCAAAGGTGGTGGTGTTCGAGGAAGCGGGTGAGGTGTTGGAAGCACATACGCTCACCGCACTCCTGCCTTCGGTCGAGCACGTCATTCTGATTGGGGATCACGAGCAGCTAAGGCCCCAAATCAACAAATACGAGTTCCAACACGACAATCCGAGGGGTGCAAAGTTCTCTTTGGATATCTCGCTTTTCGAAAGACTCGTCCATCCTCAATCTGGACATGGGAAGCTTCCTTGCAGTTCGCTGGAGGTTCAGCGTCGGATGCACCCATCGATCGCCGAGCTGGTTAGATCCACGCTCTATCCCAAGTTGCAAGATTACCCCTCGGTATCGACCTATCCAGAAGTCGACGGAATGCGGAAACGTCTCTTCTGGCTCGATCATAACGAGAAGGAGGATTCTTCATCCTCGAATTTGGCGCAGTCATTTTCCAAGTCTAATGCCTGGGAGGTAGAAATGACAGCCGCTCTGGTCTCCCATCTCGTCCGCCAAGGCACCTACCGGAACGAAGATATCGCAGTTCTGACTCCTTATTTGGGACAGTTGCAGAAGCTCAAACAGCGCCTAGGATCCTCCTTCGCTATCGTAGTTGGTGACCGAGATCTCGAAGACTTAGAGACGAAGGGATTGGAGGACGACAGCGGAGAAGAGACAGTTGCAATTAAAGGTAATATCCGGAAGACGACGTTGTTGAACGCCTTGAGGATCGCTAGTGTGGACAACTTCCAGGGAGAAGAAGCGAAAGTCATCGTCATCTCATTGGTCCGCAGTAACGACGAGAGGAAGTGTGGATTCCTCAAAACGTCGAATCGCATCAATGTCTTGCTAAGTCGCGCCCGCCACGGAATGTATATCATCGGCAACACACATACCGCACGTCCTGCCCCCATGTGGGATAAGGTTATCACAATCCTCGAGAAGGACGGAAACATAGGCCAGACTCTAGCGCTATGTTGCCCCCGACACAAGGAGACGCCAATCGAGGTGTCGAACCCTGACGACTTCTCTATCTTCTCGCCCGAGGGTGGCTGCAACAGAAAATGCATCTCACGGCTTAGTTGCGGACATGCCTGCATCAACAAATGCCATTCCGAGCCGCTACATAATGCCGTTCGGTGTCTGGAACGCTGCCAAAGGATCAAAAAAGGCTGTGACCACGCCTGTCGTTATTTTTGCGGAGACCCTTGTGATTCGAAATGTCGTGAACTGGTGCCGAATGTCGTCTTATCTTGCGGGCACGTTCAAACACGGTTGGCATGCTACATAGCGCAAGCTCCAGATGCATTTCAATGTCCTGTCTCGGTTGAAACTGTTATACCAGGTTGCAAGCACACTGTAAAGGTTCGTTGCCATGAACTTCCACTTGCACCAGATTATCCATGCAGTGCTACATGCGGCGCTGCTCTCGGGTGTGGCCACGACTGTAAACAAAATTGCAGAGACTGCAACACACGAAGTGAAGATGGCCGTATCTCGGGCATCAGTCACGGTATCTGCAAGGCTCCATGTGGTAGACCGTACACCACTTGCAGCCATGCGTGTTCCGAGGCTTGTCATGGGGATAAGCCGTGTCGGCTCTGCTTGGAGCCGTGCGAAGTTCGGTGTAGCCATTCACGGTGCAGTAAGAAGTGCCACGAGCCTTGCATTCCTTGCGTCGAAAAATGCTCCTGGTCCTGTCCACACCGGGGCGAGTGCAAATTGCCCTGCGCGGTGCCCTGTGACCTGCTTCCATGTTCCAAACGCTGCTCGTTGACACTGAATTGTGGTCATGGGTGTCCTTCTGTCTGTGGAGAGATATGTCCAGAGGTCCAATACTGTCAGAAGTGCGCCGATGAGTCGGTCAAGGACATGATGGTTGATTACATCATGGGATCCACCTACACCGAGACTGATTTAGACGAAAACCCATGCATCATACCGTCTTGTGGTCACATTCTCACCCTGGAAAGCATGGATGGCCACATGGAGATTTCAAAGTACTACACCATCTCTGGTGACACCGATGCTGAGGACTCAATCGTCGCATTGAAGTCGAGCTCGGTTCCATTCTCAACCTCAGAGCTGAAAAATTGCCCCATGTGCCGTAGCCCTCTTCGCAATATCAATAGATATGGCCGCATAGTTCGACGAGCGTGGATCGACGAGGCGACTAAGAAATTCATTGTTTGGGCAAACGCGCAGTTTGTTCCCTTAGCCTCCAGAATGGAGCAGGCAGAGGCCAAACTCCGAGAGCCCTTCACCGACAGGAAAAACCCCAAAGCTCCGCTGCTTGGACAGGCGCAGCTATCTTTAGCGCTTGACAGGCTTTCCCTCGAACCCATTCGACTTATCGGATCTCGTGACGAACAGATAAAGGTCGTTGTCAAGACCTTCAAATTAGATGCTAGATACAAGGATATCTCCTTGCTCCGCATTGACATCAGAAGATTTCTTAAGGAAGTCGACGAAGCAGAGCAACCCATCAGCCGCATCCACAGTCTCATACAAGACGCCCGCAAACATCGTGGAGTCAACACCGAAATCACTGACGTACCCTCCGTACTTCAAGTCCGCAATCGCCTCCTGGCAACAGTGCTACTCCTCCGCTGCGATTACGCCATACTCTCCGATTTTGTCAGTCACGTGAGCGGAACGGCTTCAGGGGAGAACCCCGGAGACGTTCGTCTCAGCCTTGCCGTCAATCGAAACGACTGCGAGAGCCTGATACAGGAATCCCGATCCCGGCAACAACCCACACACGAAGTCGAAGGCATCCTATACTGGGCCCGCTTCGTCGCTTTGGAGCGCGGCCACTCAGCCAGCGTCTCCGATGCAGACATGACCACCCTGGTCAATCGTGCCCACGACCAACTCCACTTCGCACGCATTATTTGCGACACTTACCCCGGTCAAACAGCCGGCATGCCAGCGGAAGTGTCCGGAGCAGAGAAAATGCTTCGTGACGCGACGTTCTACGAGCCCGTGACGAATGTGGAGAAGGCAGCCGTGTACGCGGCAATGGCGCAGAGCTTTCAAGGCACGGGACACTGGTATTACTGCGCCAATGGTCATCCTTTCACAGTGGGCGAGTGCGGCATGCCGATGCAGACGGCTAGGTGTCCGCAGTGTGGGGCTACTGTGGGTGGGACGGATCATCGGGCTGCGGCGGGGGTGACGCGGGCAATGGATCTGGAAGCGGAGTTTGGGAGGTGAGAAGAGGTAGATGCTGGAAGGCTTATTAGCGGTGATGAGGTGGTAAGGCTTTCTTGTTCCAGTCAGAACTGGAAGGGGAATCGCTTGGATGGTGTCAGAGTGCCATAATAGGCGAATTGGCTGTGTGTCTGACGATGTCAATGCATCTGCGGCAATCATTGACGGAGAGGTCTCAAAGTTGAGTGACAGGTTTTCTAATAGAGCACAGCAAATCTCCTAGTTTCCATTCCTGAACCCCTTCTGCAGCCAAAAGTGAGCCAAAGAGTAGTCTAAAGTAAATTGAAAAAGCGGCCATAAGCAGTCAACATTAGATCTCACCTTCATATCAGCATGACAAACTCGATTGAATTTTCTACAATCATTTCAAAATAGGGGTCCGTCTGGTATTGGCCAGAGCTACTATTCCATATCACGAGACCGTGTGAAAGGCCACGACCCTCGTCTCCTCTGAGCTGGCTGATAGTCCGGTTCCAACAGTCCTCTATGGAACTTTCAGGCACGGCTAGGACATATGACGATAATAGAGATATCTTCGGAGGTCATGCCACGTTAAGATCTTCTCTGCTACCGCTCTCTTGATTACCGGTGAATGCTGCCTAGGAACAGTGTCTCAGCGGAGGCGTGGCCACCAACAGGGCAGTAATGACCGGACGCCTATATTGTATGGAATATGAAAAGACTTACTATTGGCAACACAGCTGATGCACTCAGCACCGCCAAGGTCCAGCCCATTACCCTCCATCCGAACGTATCGTGAAAGAACCCAGCCGGCGATGGACCTGCTAGCACTCCTGCCGGTATGCCACAATTGAGCAGGTAAAAGGCCTGCCCATAGGCTCCTGCTTCGCCTCCGATCTCTGGGTTTTCTCCAATGATGTGTTCGACAGCGGACGCCAAATCAGCCGCCAGCGGCGGGATAGTGAGAGAAAACGCGAAGCCTGTTATAAGTTCATTCAATGAGCACGAATCCTCCGACCGCACAAACTTACCAAGAACCGTGAGCAGCACGCATAGAAGTGCTATCTGGCCAGCACTATTACGGGTGACCAAAGGCAACAAGGCTAGCATCACTGAGGCTAGCGTGAATCCTGCGGCTGCAACCCAACGAGGACCATACCTGTCCGCGAGCATCCCGGTCAACGGAGCAACAAGGGTAGGGACTGAGACGGTCAGAAACATGAGACCAGCATGAATGGAGCTCCAGCCAAACATCTGTTAAACGAATATGGGGAGGACACCATCGCTTTTTCAAAGCTTGTGAAGAGTGTCTGTGCGAGCATGACGCCGTACGTCGTCGCTAGTTTCGTAGGTTTTCCCCGCAGAAGGAGAAAATTCGGCATTTTGCTTTGTGTGACGCTAAGCTTGTTCTGTTCAACGCTGCGTGATTGCGATGCAGCAGGGGTCGTTATCAACGGGTCATTTTCGGTGGGATTCACTACCTCACGGGTTGCCTATCTCCATTCTCAGGTAGGTGGTTAGATCTCGGACCGGCCTTCTCCACCATACCAAGCCTGAGTATAATATCGAGCATAACATTGATTCCCATGGTAAGAAAGATAGCATTAGCGCCCAGCTTGCCGTAAATGAGTCCTCCCAGAGTTGGCAATATGAGAAATCCTGCGTTTGCGAATGACAGCACGAAGCCCATCCATTTCCCGATCTCATCAAGGCCAACCGTATCCTTTACAAGAGCCAGTCCGCCGGTATATATGATAGCCGCGGAGAGATCCTGAAAGAACCAACTCACGACTAGAACATAAATGTCTGTTCCAAGACTGAGCATCACGGTCGCGGCCCCCAGCAAGAGCAGGCCGAGAAGTAGAAAAGTCTTTCGCGAAGGACTCCGATTGGCGAGCCAGCCGAGGAAAGCTTGATGATATCAGCGAACATCTGGGGGCAAGGATTCAACGAGGAGACGGACGTGAGCCTAATAGGTTTGCAAAGCCGAAAGCCGCCAGCATGGCGGAGGTCCAGAATTGCACTTCATACTGTCAACTATTGACTATGGAACGCAGGTTCATCTACAGACCCTCTTCTTGGGGGATTCCCGTCCTCGTGGGCAACCAGGAGGGTAGGACGGGAACAATCTGGATCATATCAATCTTGTGAAGAGAAAGAGATACGGCAAGAAACTTACGAGACCGTAAATATATTCATCTTGCAGTTTGGCGTCAGGGCCCCAGCGAACAGGATAGAGTAGCATGTGGAAGGAGGAGTTATACTCACGGCGAAGAAGGCCAGGCATAACGTCGTCAAAATGAACGCTTTCGAAGATTTGTATCCTAGCAGAACTGATTCATTCATCATTTCGTGGATTTACGTTTGAAAAGTGAAATGGGTACGATTGGAAAACAAAGGCAAGGATATTCGATATTCGATATTCCTGACAGGAAGGGAGCAAGTTGATTTTCCATTTACCATCATTTATGAAGGAGAGGGGGGAGACATGGAGTACGAATGCCAGTTGCGTGGCGGCGGTGGAGACTGGGGAGATGATATGATGCCAAGCATATGCTAACTCTCTATGTGACATAAATTACCGCTCAATACCGTTAGAGCCATTCACGCGCCAAGCTCCAATCGCACGCGTTTCGCCTACGCACAGAATAGCCGCACGACCTTATCGGGTACACCCAAGCTTTCTGTAAGCAGCTTCCAGGACCCAGGTGCCTGGCCAAGATGGACAGATCTATGGCTCAAGCATTGACGGGTCTCATCCCCACCCTGACTGGTCCTCTACCGCCGGAGCTCCTGGAGCTTGCAGTCGCTCTACTCGCGCAATCACGCAGCAAAGCAAGCAGTCTGAAGGCGGACGAGGAAATCGCAAGGTCCTACGCCTGCGCTAACCTGGCTTGCGAAAGGTGTGAGGCATCCCAGTGATTGATTGGTTGTATTTGAGCTAGCTGGCTGATTGTATTATACAGGCTCAAGCAATCCCTAGCTCTACCAAAGATCGAACCGCGCCCACCATGCCCCCCGAAGGTGTACCAGAAGCTCTACAGATACCTTGACAGTGCCCTGCCGGCAGGAACAAGACGGACTGCCCGACCCTCGAGACACAATAAATCTACCTTGACACCACAGTCTTCGCCAGCCAAGCCCAGAACCCCAGCAAAGGCAACGCCCCTCAGACCAGACACGCGGCTGAAGAAGACACCCTATAGGCAATCAACCTCCGCTGCTGAAGCTCCAGCATGGGTAATGCCTGTCATACGCCAGCTCTGCAACAAGATGGGAGCTCCCGCTGCTCCACATCACATCTTCGCCGGCATTTCCTCTATACTAGCCTCCCAAGAGCAGCATAGCGCGGTCAAAATACCAGCATTGATAGTCGCGGTGTACATCCTCGTAACGACACGCTTAGCTGGTACCGAGACCGCACCTAAACAATACCAAAACCGGAGAACCCATGCGTTAGAGATCATCAACGATGCTGCTAGGAAGAATGAAACTTATATGGAGGCCGGGAATGTTGATATTGACAATTGTATGCGTGAAGTCAAGGACCAGAAGTGGACCCGGATGGACTGGTTTGAGAACATCACCCCGGGGTCTGGTGTCGGCTTGGATCAAGGAGCGAAAGATGATGTGGAGGACGGACCTGGCGATGACGAAGCGGATGAAGGAGGCCTTTTGCCTGTGACAAGGAGAACTATTGGCAGACGAGACTCGCTGGAACAGGACTATCTCCAAGCAGGTTTAGGCACGATGGTGAGGACTTCCTCCCCATTCCCGCGCTGTCATACGATTTAGCTAACGTGTCTGCAGATGCGAGATCAGGTAGACTACCTCAGTAATGACAGAAGACGTGATTACCAGGTGTGGAAGAAGGACATCTTGATTCGGATCGAAGAGCTAGAAAACAGCCAAGAAATGGACGTTGGGCCAGACTGAAAGATTTATTGTGCGACAGATAAGAACTTCAATCCTGCTTCATGAAGTCCAAAAGATCCAGTCCAAACCCAGAAGAAGGTGCGGCAGGAAGTTTGGACTTCTCCAGCATAGCTTGCAGTCCGCTTTTGTGCTTTCGAGCCCTTTCTCGCCGCTTACTGGCCTTGCTAGAGTTATCAAGCGGGCTTGACTCTGGGTCTAGCTGTAGCTTAGCATCTGAAGAAGACGTCGCTTGCGATGTAGCCTTTGCCGTTTCGCTGTTACTGCTTGGCTTGGACTTCTGTAAAGGCGTATCCTCGAAGCGATGACAAGCTAGACATTTGACCCGTACATACTTGTCCGCAATTGGAGAGAGCTTTCCCCTGGTATGCTTTTTGGATCCAGGTTTTGGATTAGCCATTTTTGACGCTCGTTTGTCAACTCGGCTAATCTGCGATGTCCATCCCGGGATCAAGACAGTACCGCATGCCTTACATGATGAGCTTGACCCATCGTTGCCCTTGGGCCCGGCACTGCCAGCCATCTCGAGGTGCCGTTGGAGCATCAGCTGCGCAGATGTGGCGGGCGCAGTAGCTGAATATAGATGTCCAGCCGCATGGAGAAACCTCAGCTTGGCTTCGGCTGCCGTGTCGGCCATGATGGTAATGACTTTTTGAACGTAGGGTGACGGTACTTATACTTTGTGGGATCTACTATTTCCCCACGAAAGAGATGAAGGAAATCGCCAAGTCGACTCATCTAGTAGAACATAATGCCCCACTTAAATTAAGCGCGGTAGCCGCTGGCCGCTGGTGGCCATTGTTGAATACAGTAAGTAAAACTGTAAAGTACTTTACGCAGTTCATGCTGTGTAATTGTAAAGATGGTTGATTTCCATGAACCTTACGAAATGATCTACTTGAGCTATTCTGCTAACCACATTTGGGTATGGCTGGCAAAGGAGGTAGCAGCTCCCGTCAGCTTCGACCGGGGCACTGCTAAACAATCGTTGCCAACATGAGCTTCTATTCAAGGCACAGGCACTCTGGCAATTGCATCCGGTTTCTTTTGAATCTTTGGTCTCTCCTTCATGAACAAGGCGTTGTCCAGATTGCCACCTACAACCGGAGCACAGTATGATGAAACGTCGTTATGGCAAGCTCAGATCATGTGAGACCATGCGGAAAGTCGAAGATTAAATGTGATCACAGCATCCCAAATTGCGAGAAATGCAGATCTTGTGGTCTCCTTGACCAGTGCTTCTATCATCCCGCGCCGATAACTAGACCGTGTGGAGAAGCTCGATCGATCAACGCCCCACGGTACGGTATAGTGTACACGCTGGCCTATCTTGGCTTACACTTTGCTATAGGGGCTTGGACAATCGGGAAAGAAGCTTTTATCAGATCCCAAATCATCATATTCCCTACACTGTAAACACAAGCGGACTTGGATCTCCTCAAAGGAACCAATCGCTGTCTTCGGCGCCTACGTACGATGACTCAAATGCTTGAGCTAATCACGAGCCGCCCAGCCTCGCTGCCAGTGGACGTTTATCCGAGGTCCTAAGTTCTAGAGCTGGGGCTTTACTGGCCGGCAGAGAGCGTGCGCAGCCTGATCAATACCAGCTCGAGCCTGGGAACAAGATCATCGCCCTCCTTCATCCCTTCTCGGTCTTTGAAGGACTTGTTCGTCGTCATTTCTTGATGATTCAAGTTTCACGGTGGCATCTCCGCTGGTTTTGGTTGCCCTTCCTCACATCAAAGCGGTTCTCGAGGCAGAGAGTGGTCATGATCCTAGTGCCAAGAACCATGCTCTATCCCGAAAGATCACAGAGAGTACTCTTCGTCCACTGATTGTACCTGCTTCGACGACCGCTGCCAACTTCCATACGCTGTTTACTGGTCAGAGTATACGTTGGGAATGTCTTGGCTTTTTGTTTGCTATAGCAGGTCGATCTGCCATGGTCAAAGCTCCAAATGCCTGACCCCTGACTAGCGAGAATGCAGAAGACATCGACCGGACCAAGTTCGTACACGACATGATGATGGCAAGTAGGACATGCGTAGCGCTATGTTGAGCAGACGGCGCCGTAGTAAACGACCTCCTTATCTTGCATCTTTATGATAATCTGCTTTTCTCCACCATGCGTTATGGAGACTAAGGTATGCTTTATGCTTTCAGCAACGTCTCCTTCATGCTCTAACCTTCGTTGGTCTAGGTCCCCTCGTCTGGCAGCGTCTGGGCGATCTTTCCATGGATATATTTGCCATGGGTCTGCACAAAGAACCTCATGACCCGACAGAAGTATATGTTTCCCTCAAGAATGTAGGAGGAAGATGTTTGCAGCGGCTTACAGGACCGACAAAAGAATGTGCACTTTCCTCGGACGGCTACCCAGGATTCCACGGCTTTATTGTGATATGAAATCGCCCTTGGATATCAGTGATGAAGATCTTATGCTAGAAGGTCCTGCATTGGAAGCAATACTCTCTAAGCTTGATGCCGGTGGCTGGAATCGAGACGAAGTCATCCAGCCTGCTAGTTTCATGCGTCTGCGGTATATCATGAGCTTTTTTCGGGAGGAAATTCTAGAATTATCTCTTGGATCGAGGAGCGCAAATATGGTCTACAAGCTGAACTAGGTCCATCACGATTCCGATATCCGTTACTGACCAATTTAAAATTTCGTGACATCTTCCAACGCTGCCAACAAGCCTGGCATAATGTTCCTGTTCACCTCCACTACAGACGAAGTTGCTGGGACTCAGGACAAGCTTTGGGAGCCTGTCTCGTGCTGCTTGCCAACTATTTCGAGAAAGTAAACAGCGACTTTCACATCCAGAGACTTTTGTGCAAATACTCCTTGGCAGGCAGCCATGCCTTACTTAGCACCTCAATGCAGATGCTTACGTTGGTCATGGTGGTTGTGGAGCAGCATACTCCTAGATATGAGATGCAGAGAGATTATGCCTGGCTTGTGAGTATCTACGCGGTGAGGCTGCGATACTCGAGTTTTGTATTGACAATGTGAAGACTCTCTTCTACGGCGTATCAAGCGCAGGCATCTTGGCAGCAGAGCTAAGTAAAAGAACCAAAACAGGCATCCGCTTGCCGGCCTTCATACACCAGCCCGAGTTAATTAGAAATCTGAGCGTTCTCATGTCATACCTTTGAATTGGTCTCACGCCCCGGAGATGGCAATTTATTGCGGCGAAGCAAGCAAGATGCTGGCCCGCATTTTGGATGAAGCTCTTGACACCCAGGCGACACCTAGTAACGATGAAGACCAGCAGGCTTACCACCTTCAGACGGAGCTGTGCCAGGTTCCGTCGATAATGATATATATACAAATTGTAGTGGGAATGGAAATGAAGCATTGCCAATGGACAGTGAAGCTTTTTTCGATTGGTTAGACAGTATTGATTGGAATCACCCTACAGACTTCTATAATTGAGGGCAAAGCGATCATAGTTTGGATTTCAAATATATATCATCATTCGTGAATTGAACGACATCAATGTTCTATCAACGCATGCTTTGTGATTCGCGAAATATGGCATCCCTTCTAGCCATAGTCAGCAATCTAGCCTCTCAGCCTCAGCTTCTCTTCCTCGCGAGAAGAGACATGAGTCCAACCCCCTGCTCAGACTTCACTATCCCAATTCTAGTACCACTTGACCTTCCCTCCCGCTCCTCGAAAGTATTCTCAATCGACTTCACAGGGTGCAGCAATCACTTTGGCGCTTTCTTTCGACCCCACTCCTTCGTCTATAGCATCGCGACGACAACGCGCGCAACAGTGTGAGAAAACAGCTGCTCGGGAAACATCCTATCCTGCAAGACTATCTTGACATGCAACTTTGATGCTGTTGAGCTCGTACTCTCTCATCCTGTGCAAATCCACGATCCTGTCGTCAACGGTATTCCTTGGTTTGTGGTACCTTGAGTCTGTGTCCCTTGCCGACGAGGCTCTCCCATCTTCAAATGCCATCTCAGACCAGATGCTCATTGCTTCTCCTGCAGCCGAAGCCGACACCTTGTCCCCATCAACATCTTCCAACCAAAGCCAGCGACGACACAGCGCTAGCCTTTCGAAATCGATCCCAGGGACATCAATCCCGCGACATCAATCCCACACAGGCAAACGAACCCGATATAATTGATGTCTCGTAATTAATATATACTCTGATTAGATCTTTATGTGTTTAAACACGCGAGAGCAATATTGACATGCATAATCTATTTCAAGAAACCTATGATAGACGATTATAGTATAAATTTAGTACATTTACGGGACATAATACACAATTCTCTGTTTTAAATAAATAAGATAGATATATACTGTATTCGAGGAATAGAAGAACAGAACAGACGGAGCCTTGTGCAGCCCTAATCTGAAAGTTCCAATATTCACCGATTGATTCCTTAAGGCTCATCACAGCCTTGGTAGCGAGTCCTCCTATCATCAGCAATGGGATCCTCACGTGAGGACCCAAGGGCAATCCCCCTGATGATATCTTTTCCCATCTCCGTATCTATATCTATCGATCTGCTTGCAGGCTCCTTGACTCTATTATTAGTATCAAATCCTGAGCTTTAATTGGAAAGCTTCTGCAGGCATGCTAGAGTTGATGATCGCCGGCAACACGTAAAGCGCTGTCAGCAATCCACCGTAGAGAGCAGAGCTCTTCGAGGTCAGCATCTCTGCTTTACATTGTGATTTTGCTTTCGATATGGCGATGAGATTTTTTCCGATGATGGTCGTCACTCACTTGTCTCTGCTGGACCGTCTTTATTTTGTCAAAGACCCAGTGACGACGGGCGTTTCTCCCGCTGCAGGAGTTTAGCGCTAGGAAGATTTCACTGTAGATCAGGTGCTTAATACAAAGACTTGGACTGGCCGCTAGCCCCTGCATTCTCTGAAATGCTTCGGGCATTGCTCTGGAGGATGAGCTCGCACAATTGGAGCTCATCGATGATAGCCGAAACGGCCTGCATGTTTACCGGGCTGATGCTGTCTCTGGCATCGAAGACAACTGGATAACATGGAGATGCCTGGCGTTTTTCAAAGGATTATTGCCCCACAAGAGCAGGCGGTGTCGGTAGTTTACATGACCAAGGGTCTTCTCTGGTACGCTGAGTGCAAAGACACTGGTCATCCGTGTGACTGTTTCAGATTTAACACCCGGAGTTACCAGGCGCCCAAGCTTAACTCCTAACGGTGCCCCAGCCAATATTTGTTAACCGAAGATTCGCCGCTACAATATTTAAAAAAGTTCTTGCATATTGACAATAATGTTCAACACTGCTTCAGGGTACGTGATGCTTTTTTGTCAAACGCGTAAGGGCAGTTGAAACACATCAAGAACATGGAAATTCGTAAGTATTAATCCACAATTCCTACACCTTCCTACACCACAGACACTAAACGGCTCTCGACCTTTAATGCCTGCAAAGCAAATGGATCACGATGTGCCCAGCAGTCCTCGAGTCGCTGCCTCTGTCGGCCTCCCTGATAGCGAACCCGGTGATGTTACGTCACCTACCCGAGCCCTCAATAATGTCAGCACGGCGCCTACGTTCAACGCTCTGGCAGCACCACATGAGGGGGAATTCTCAGGAAAAGCAGTGCGGTTAGAATTGAAGGATGGGAAAACATATTTAGGTGTTGGTTTTGGGGCAGATAAGAGTGTTGCTGGAGAGCTTGTTTTCCAGACAGGAATGGTGGGATATCCAGAGTCAATCACGGATCCTTCGTACAAAGGACAAATCTTGGTGGTCACATTTCCACTTGTCGGCAACTATGGCGTACCTTCCAGGAATACAATGGACGAGATACTTGGCGACCTACCTGCTCACTTCGAAGCCAACCAGATCCATGTTTCGGGCCTTGTGGTAGCCTCATATTCTGGAGAGGACTACTCACATCACCTTGCTACATCCTCCTTAGGGACATGGCTCAAAGAACAGGACATACCTGCAATGTACGGGGTGGATACTCGAGCCCTGACGAAGAGAATTCGAGAGGAAGGAAGCATGCTCGGCAAGATGGTGATCGAAGCCAAGAATCAGAATAACGGTATGGTCAATGGTCACAATGGACAAAACGAATACGCCGAAGCTCCATCGTTTGAAGATATTGAGTGGAATAATCCGAACACGAAAAACCTCGTTGCTGACGGTGAGAGTTTCCCTCCTGCTTATCCGCCATTTGGGCGTTTGCTGATGTCCATTACTAGTCTCCATCCAAGAGCCTCGTCTTTACACTCCACCAGCTGGGAACGCTTTGTTTCATTCGTCTGGCCGACCAATCAGAGTTGTCTGCGTTGATGTGGGACTCAAATATAATCAGCTTCGTTGCCTGGTTTCCCGAGGGGTGGAGGTACTGGTCGTTCCATGGGATTATAATTTTCCAAGTCTTGCTGGCAAAGACTACGACGGCCTCTTTATCTCTAATGGTCCTGGTGATCCCTCAGTGCTTACAAAGACGGTGCAGCATATCTCTGCTGCTATGCAAGAAGCCAGAACTCCTATTTTTGCAATTTGCTTGGGTCATCAGCTTCTTGCCCGAGCTGCAGGAGCGCAAACGATTAAAATGAAATTTGGAAATCGCGGGCACAACATTCCTTGCACTCACAAGGCCTCTGGAAAATGCTACATCACCTCGCAGAACCACGGCTATGCAGTCGACGCAATGAGCCTACCTTCTGACTGGGAAGAGCTTTTCGTAAATGCAAATGACGGCAGCAATGAAGGTATCAGACATCTCAGTCGCCCTTACTTCAGCGTGCAATTTCACCCAGAGAGCACACCTGGACCACGAGATACCGAATTCCTTTTTGATGTCTTCATCAATGCTGTCAAAGAAAGCGTTGCCTCAGTCGAAGCTCTACTACGCCATGTCGATTTCCCGGGTGGCTCGGCCGACGAGAATGAAAAGCTGCATCCAAGAGTGATTGTGAAGAAGGTCTTGTTGCTGGGAAGCGGAGGCCTCAGCATCGGCCAGGCCGGAGAATTCGACTACTCCGGTAGCCAAGCCATCAAGGCTCTAAAGCAGGAGGGGATTTACACTATCTTGATCAATCCCAACATTGCCACCATACAAACGTCCAAAGGCCTCGCCGATAAAGTCTACTTCCTACCAGTGACCGCCGACTCGGTGCGGAAAATCATTAAGCACGAGCGGGCGGACGCAATCTATGTCACCTTTGGCGGCCAGACAGCATTGCAAGTGGGGGTAGACATGATTGACGAATTCGAAGAGCTTGGTGTGAAGGTTCTGGGGACCCCAATTGACACAATCCGCACAACCGAGGATCGTAAGCTGTTCGCTCGCCGTATGAAATCAATTGGCGAGAAGTGTGCACCATCAGCATCTGCGACTTCTGTTGAAGAAGCTGTATCTGCAATAAAAGACATCGGCTTTCCCGTCATCGTTCGTGCAGCATACGCTCTTGGGGGCTTAGGCAGCGGCTTTGCCGATAACGAGCAGCAACTGCGTGAGCTCTGCGAAAAAGCATTTGCCGCAAGCCCCCAGGTCCTTGTAGAGCGAAGCATGAAGGGTTGGAAAGAGATTGAATATGAGGTTGTTCGTGATGTGAGAGACAATTGCATAACGGTCTGCAACATGGAGAACTTCGATCCACTGGGTATTCACACTGGAGACTCGATTGTCGTGGCGCCTTCGCAGACCCTATCTGATGAGGACTACAACATGCTTCGAACAACAGCAGTCAATGTTATACGCCACCTGGGAGTTGTAGGAGAGTGCAACATACAGTATGCCTTGAACCCGGACTCCAGAGAATACTGCATTATTGAAGTCAACGCTCGATTATCAAGATCGTCTGCCCTAGCTTCGAAGGCAACCGGGTACCCTTTGGCATTCATCGCTGCTAAGCTTGGTTTAGGTATACCCTTGAATGAGATCTCAAATAGTGTCACGAAGGTCACCTGTGCATGCTTTGAACCATCCTTGGACTATGTCGTTGTCAAGATACCGAGATGGGATCTGAATAAGTTTACTCGAGTCTCTACAGAGCTGGGCTCCTCGATGAAGAGTGTTGGAGAAGTCATGAGTATTGGCAGGACATTTGAAGAAGCTATCCAGAAGGCTATCAGATCTATTGATTTCCATAATCTTGGATTCAACGACACGAGCGCATTAATGTCGATTGACAACGAGCTACAAACACCGTCGGATCAACGCCTTTTTGCCATCGCCAATGCCATGCATTCTGGCTACACTGTTGACAAGATCTGGGAGATGACTCGAATTGACAAGTGGTTCTTGAGAAAGCTGAAGAAACTGAGCGACTTTGGGAAGCTCATGAGCACGTTGAAACCTCAAACAGTGACGCAAAACCTGGTCCGTCAAGCCAAGCAACTAGGCTTTTCAGATCGACAGCTCGCAAAATTCTGGAGCTCCACCGAGGGAGCGGTGCGTCAATTTCGAGTCGATGCTGGAATCACACCATTCGTGAAACAGATCGATACTGTAGCAGCCGAGTTTCCTGCCTTCACGAACTACCTATACCTGACTTATAACGGCTCGGAGCACGATGTGAGCTTTGAAGACCATGGTGTAATGGTACTCGGATCAGGAGTCTACCGCATTGGTTCGTCAGTAGAGTTCGACTGGTGTTCTGTAAGAGGCATTCGCACTCTTAGAGATCAAGGCTTCAAGACTGTGATGGTGAACTACAACCCGGAGACGGTCAGCACAGACTATGACGAGGCAGACAAGCTCTACTTTGAGACCATCAACCTTGAGACTGTCCTTGATATCTACCAATTGGAATCCTCCAGTGGGGTCATCATCTCATTGGGAGGCCAGACACCAAACAACATCGCTTTAGATATGTATCGCCGAAATGTCAAAGTTCTTGGTACATCACCCGATATGATTGACATGGCCGAAAATCGATACAAGTTCTCTCGTATGCTGGATCGAATATACGTGGATCAACCAGCGTGGAAGGAGCTAACGAGCATCGAAGAAGCAAGGGAATTCTGCAACAAAGTCAATTACCCTGTGCTAGTAAGGCCGTCATACGTCCTCTCCGGGGCAGCAATGAACACAGTTTACTCGCAGCACGACCTCGCAAGCTATCTGGATCAAGCAGCTGAAGTGTCCAAAGAGCATCCGGTCGTGATTACCAAGTACATCGAGAATGCGAAAGAGATAGAGATGGACGCAGTCGCGCGGGATGGTATTATGGTCGGTCATTTCATTTCTGAGCACGTTGAAAATGCTGGTGTCCACTCTGGAGACGCTACCCTAATACTGCCTCCCCAAGATCTTGATCCAGAGACTGTCAGACGGATAGTAGATGCGACAAGAAAGATCGGCGATGCGCTGAATGTGACTGGACCCTTCAATATACAATTCATTGCCAAAGACAACGAGATCAAGGTCATTGAGTGCAATGTTCGAGCTTCAAGATCCTTCCCTTTCGTGTCTAAAGTCATGGGTGTAGACCTGATCGAAATGGCTACTAAGGCTATCATGGGAGTTCCTCTTGTGGCGTACCCACCTACCGAAATACCCCAAGACTATGTTGGCGTCAAGGTACCTCAATTTTCATTCTCCAGGCTCTCCGGAGCAGACCCTGTTCTGGGAGTGGAGATGGCATCCACGGGGGAGGTGGCCTGCTTCGGCCGAGACAAGTATGAAGCGTACATCAAAGCTCTCATCTCGACTGGCTTCAAACTTCCGAAGAATAACATACTACTGTCGCTTGGGGCCTTGAAAGAGAAGATGGAATTGCTACCATCCATTATAAAATTGCACAAGCTAGGTTACAACCTTTTCGCGACTACTGGAACTGCGGACTACCTTCAAGAACACGGCCTACCGGTAAAAGTTCTTGAAATACTCTCCAGTGAGTCTGAACAACAAAATTCAGAGTATTCAATACCGCAGCATCTTGCGAACAATCTCATCGATCTGTACATCAACTTACCATCCAGCAACAATTTCCGTCGACCTGCCAATTACATGAGTCGCGGTTATAGAAGCAGAAGATTGGCAGTGGACTATCAGATACCATTGGTTACAAACGTCAAAAATGCTAAAATTCTCATCGAAGCAATCGCTAGGCAATACGACTTTGAGATTCGAAGCATTGATTATCAGACCGGTCACCGAACGATGGTTTTGCCAGGCCTGATCAACGTGTCAGCTTTTGTCCCCGGTGTGGCTATCAGTGGTAACCGGGATTTTTCCACAGTCACTAAAGCCTCCGCTGCAGCAGGATTTAGTATGATCCGAGTCATGCCCTTGGGACTTGAGAGCTCAGTGACAGACGCCCGCTCATTGAAGCTAGCACAACAAGGAAGCCGACATGGTGCTTTCTGTGACTACAACTTCTCTGTCGCAGCGACGTCATCAAATTCCGAGCAGATAAGTCAAGTCGTTGACGATATTGGCTCCCTCTTCATCACCTTCGACCATCTGTCGAGTAGCATCAGCAAAGTCGCAGCAGTGGCTTCTCATTTTGCTACCTGGCCGAACGATAAGACTATTGTCACTGATGCTAAAACTACTGACTTGTATTCGGCGCTCCTACTGGCAAGCTTGCACAATCGGAAATTACACGTCACTTGCGTCACCACGGAGGAAGATATCCAGCTCATTGCCTTGAGCAAATCGAGAGGACTGAAAGTGACATGCGACGTCTCAGTTTATTCCTTGTTCCTTTCGCAGGAAGACGTTCCAGAATGCTCCACCCTGCCTACTGCCGCCGACCAAAAAGCGTTATGGTATCACATGGGAACAATAGACTGCTTTTCAATTGGAAGTCTTCCTTACCGGATTGCGATTGCGGCCAATGAAGCAGCTACGCCCGCAGTGGGAACTGCTGACACTCTCCCGCTATTGCTCACCGCCGTCTCCGAAGGTCGACTGACAATGGATGATGTGATTGCTAGGTTGCATGGAAACCCCAAGAAGATATTTGAGCTCCATGATCAGCCTGGAACATCAATCGAGATTGAGGTCGACCGACCATATGTGCTACAAGCTTCTGCTGTATGGTCGCCATTCGTTGGAAAGGCCATGCGAGGTTCCGTTCAACGAGTCATCTTCCAAGACACGACTACCTGCCTTGATGGGGAAGTAATGCAAGATGCGAGCTTTGGGAGAGACATGTCTGGGCATTCTCTGTCTAACCAATCACCCGTGGTGAAGCCAATGCATTCCCCAGCCCTTCGTCCAATCAGCTCACACGACCGTCGAGAATCTGTGCATGATCGAAGACCATCCGTGCTTTCAGGAACCGCCTTGCCGGCACGTCCTATCAGCCGGCTACGCCAGCAGGATGGAATGAGCACCACACAGTCTCCTAAAGATGCCCAAATGCAATCTCCCAGTCCATCGACGATGGCTTCAGACTTCAGCTCCTCCTCTCTACCCATGTCGTTGCCTCCGATTACCCACAATGTCCAAGACCTGCTCTCCCGCTCGCCCTTTAAACAACGCCACATCCTCTCCGTGGACCAATTCAACCGCCAAGACTTGCACCTCCTCTTTACAGTCGCCCAGGAGATGTACCTCGGTGTCGTGCGCCAAGGCATCCTCGACATCCTCAAAGGTCGCCTTCTCTGCACCCTCTTCTACGAACCCTCTACTCGCACGTCCGCCTCTTTTGACGCAGCAATGCAACGCCTCGGCGGCCGTACAGTCGCAATCGCTACGTCCCATTCTTCAACGCGGAAAGGTGAAACGCTCCAAGACACCATCCGTACTCTAGGCTGCTACGGTGATGCCATCGTACTGCGGCATCCTGATGAAGCGAGCGCTGCTATTGCCGCCAAATTCAGCACTGTTCCCATCATAAACGGAGGCAACGGTAGCCTGGAACACCCCACTCAAGCCTTCTTGGATCTTTTCACAATACGAGAAGAGTTGGGAACGGTGAATAGCCTTTACGTAACCTTCGTTGGCGACCTCCGCTACGGTCGCACAGTCCACTCCCTTGTCAAACTCCTCCAACACTACGATGTGCACATTCAACTCATCTCTCCTCCCTCCCTCGCCCTTCCTGCCGACGTTCGGCAATCCCTCATCGGTGCCGGCAAGCTAGTGCATCAAGGCTCCGCATTGACTCGCGAAATAATTACGAGATCGGACGTCATCTACTGTACGCGCTTGCAGAAAGAGCGATTCGAGGATCTTGGCGAATACGAGAGACTAAAAGGAGGCTTGGTCATTGATAACAACGTGTTGAAGCACGCAAAGCCGCACATGGTGATCATGCATCCGTTGCCGAGGAACGAGGAAGTGGGCGAGGAGGTCGATTTCGACCAGAGGGCGGCGTATTTTAGACAGGTATGTTATGCTACTACCCACCGGGCTGTCTGAACTTCGATGGTCAGGGATGCTAACTCGGGATTCAGATGCGATACGGACTCTACTGCCGAATGGCATTGCTTGCGTTGGTCATGGCTCCATGAGGAAGTAATGACTCCATGTTTGTGCGGCAAAGGGGACGACGATACCTTTATTGAGAAGTTGGCATAAAAAGCAGGCGATTGGCTACCAAAATTTCTTCCATGTGTCTCGTCAGTACGTATTAGAACTGCGATAGTACATTAGCAAGCGATATGAGAATGTAGATATGCGAAGACAAAGCATTAGAGAGCGAACGAGACCACGAAGTAATACATAACACAATAAAATTCAATTACCATCTGAGGCAATTTACCATAAAATGAGTCCTTTGCTATCTTGCAAGTTAACTCACCGCGACTGCAATATCTGCAGTACCGTGTATCAAGTATTCCTCATGATTGTATGCGAGATGCATGCGTTCAACTCCTACTGCGCGTGCAGGAAACGGTCTTATCTGAATTCGTCTCTGGTCATATAGTCATATATGTCGCTTGTAAAGCATCCAATGCCCTGCTTGTCCTTTCGAAATCCAGTACTTCTCAGCCTGTAAAGTCCTCACTCTCAACGCACCTCCTTTCCTTTAGCAATCTCCACACCTTTAGCAATCTTAGCTCGCAGCGAATCGTCCTCCTTCTCATCCCAATTGCTCCTCTTCAGTTGCCCCGCCATACCCACGCCGTCACCGGCCTTGCCGACCCAATCTTGCTCCTTACCCTCGCAATTACATCCGTAAGAGTGCCGATACTCAAATGGTGCCAAATTCTGCAGCAGTTTGAGGGCCTGACTACTAGCTTTGACCTTCGCGTTCTTTCCAGAGCTAGCGGTACCTTCTGCCACAACCTCGTCGTGGATCATGATGGCTGCTATGGCAGTTGGAAGACCACCCGGGATGATGGCTGGGACCTCGCTGGCCATGATACGGTAGTTGGTGCAGCCGAAGGAGAGAGAGAGGAGGTTATGGAGGTATGTCTGAACGATGGAGGTCAGCAAGGGAATCGGGCCAGAGATTGACACATTGATGAGAAGAGAGGGACAAGGCTGACCGTAGGATGATTGTTAGCGTAGGTATCGTAGACTTTCATGTCTTCAAAAAACCATTTGATGTGCCCGTTGAAGAAGCGTTCAACTTCTCCGTAGTTGAACTCCGAATCAACAAAGAGGGCGCCGATGTAAGACTCCACGATATCAGAGAGAGCCTAAAGACTAAGATTAGCGACCGAACGCGGGCCAACAAGGCGAGTTTGGATACCTTTGGAGCTGTTTTTGTCAAAGTCCAATAGTCCCGCGCCCCATTGGCGTCTTTCTCCACCTCCTCAAGATCTTGCACGTATTCACGATTCTGGCTCTCGATAACTGCGCCATTTGAACGAAGATGCTTATGAAAGCCTAGTTTGACGGAGACAGCGGCAAGAAATTTGTTGGATACCATGGCCATCTGAGGGTTGTCAGTGAAACTTGCAACATGCAGGCGATTTGGGATAGCCAACCTTGTGCTCGGTCAGCCACTGCGGGTCTCTGTCAGGATAGCGATGAAAAAGGAAGCTTATGGATGCCATATCAAGTAGCGCATCACCCAGGAATTCGAGTCGTTGATAGCAGGGGATCCTCTCTTCTGCGAAAGGATACGAAGGGTGTATGAAAGCCGATCGTAGCAGTCTCGGATATTTGAAGCGGTATTGATGCACTCGCTCCACTTGCATTGCTAGATTGAGTTGCGATGCCGTAGGGTGAGCTGTCTGGTAACGTGGCAAAGAGTAAAGACGATAATAATCATCCCATTGAGTAACGTCGTGATTGGGATTGGAGACGAAGGCCGTCACGGCTTTGACCGCCATATCCATACTATCGTGCGAGAGTAGAGCTGCACCAATCAAGGCTTCGCAAACATCCGCGATCGTCTTGTCCCCAAGAGAATGTTGTGATGTTACTTCGCCACTTTTTTTGGAACCCTTACCTTCCAGGAGTTTGATGCCCTGGGGATACCATGTGCGCCTGGGCGTCTTAGTACGCAAAACTGAGAGAAGGTACGACTTGCTCACCTTGAGAAACTCGTGCTGCGAATGAATTCTTGGAGTTTGAGAAACGTCGCCGTGTTGAACAGGTTCTTGTTGCAGATCATAAGCATGCGTTTCACATGATAATCGTACTCATTTTCTTCTGGGCTCTTGCAGAACACTGAGATCGAAGTCGCCATCTTCAAGAAGCAATCTCCGATGAATTCAAGTCTTTCGTAGTTCTTACCCATGCCCCTCTGCAAATGGATCTGTTCGCTCCTGTGTTCGTCGGTATTGTCGGAATCTTTGGTCAGAGCCTCAAGAGCTAGCGCTGGCTGAATAGCCAAGCCTAAGAGGTCGCATACTTCCACTGCTATTAGGTACGACTCGATACGACTGATACATGGCGGAAACAAATAAGCCATTGCAACAACGGTGGTAGGCAACTGAAATTACATTAGCATCTTGGTATCAAGCGGAGGAAGCCATCAACTTACGGCGGAAAACTTGAGAGGTTGCGGACAAAGGTAGGCAGTCGTATTCACACCCTTCTCTTTTTCCGTAATTTCGTCGAGCAGGTTCAGTCGATGAAGGATCTTGTGGGCGAGGATGACGGGCTGATCATCCTCCCATTTCATTTTCTGCTTGGAATTCTTATAGAGATGAGTCGTGGTATAGTTAATTATCGAGTCCATGTCTTTAGCCTTAGCAGTACCTTCGGGCACGGGATCGCAGGGCTTCAGATCTGGCTTGATCTCGAGAGAATAGAAGCGGTTTCCCCCGGTCCACCTGTCTATCAGATAGCGGTCAATGATTTCAACGTGCGGCGTGTCGACGGTCCAGGGCGTGTCTGAACACTGGGAAACACGCGCAAGCACAGCCCAATCGATCAAACTATTCGGCGGATCACATTCACGAGAGGTTCTCCAAGAGTCGACTATCGGAGCTAGCCAATACGACATCTGAGGCTCATTTGCCTCGAACTTCTTGTTGAAGATGTCGTAATAGATACGAAGAGTGAATTCGTTCAATTCCGTCAATACCGTACTGCTAACATGCAAGCTCGTCGAGATGGACGTGCATAGAAGCTGTGATACCTTCCCAACCTGAAGGTGGAGAGGAAATGGCGGAATATTTGGCAGTCGTGTCCTCGTCAGTAGGGCAAGAGGCTGGCAAGGTCTTCCAAGATTCTCTGGGTTTTTCAGAGAGAGAACTGTTAGGAAAACCTCGCTTGGGAGAGAGCCCCGGGTCCTCTCCCATAGCCCTGGCTTCATCTTCATGTTGTAAGAGTGAGCCTTTTTCATGTTCAGGGCGAGATGAGCATTCCTCATGTGCGGCAAACTCTTATGATACGTTGGTATCAAATTCTTGTCCAAATGATTGCTTTGTCGAAGGAGGAGACATGCTTCGAAGGCGGCCGATCTTCTTGCAATGGCTTTCCTCGACGAAGGTCTGCCCGTAGAACTGTGGATAGGCGAGCTTTCGGGCAGTATCACTTCACACACGAAATTTTTGTTTTCAACAGACATGCAATATGTAGCCTTATGGGTGTAGTCCTCGTCACGGTGCGGCTGTACATTATGTGTGTTAGATATAGCCGCGTAATAGGATCTCGAGCACTCACGAGGCATCCCACAAAGTGGGCGAGGACGACCAGGCTAGACGCATAGGTCAAAGTGGCTCCTGTTTCAGGGTCGACGTACTTCCTGTAGGACTTCTCTTTCACCAGTGCTCCCTCTAGCTTGTAGTCATTGCCCTGTAACAAGCGGTCTGCTGGAAGCGCTTCGCAAAAATTTCGCATCACCGCCTGTTTAGTATTAGCCATTGCTCTTGGTTCAATCACGCGGTCAAAATACTTCGCCTTTGCGAACATCATCTACCGCTTGAAGATGCAGTCTGTTGTCTTCCTCTACCATGTGTATGTACTGGATAATGTTACTGATTAGTACGGTTACACTTCAAACAAGGAAGCAGATTCATACCCTCGAATTCGCATGACGGGCTCGTCCTCGGCTCTGAATGTATTGTATCAGGGTGTCATAAAGATCGAACCTATTTTGAGGCCGCTTTAGCTTAAATTTTCCGACTTCGTCAATTGACATTGCTAACCTGATAACCAGGTTGCAATCTGGAATGTCAAGTCCTTCCTCTGCTATGGACGTCGCAACCTGCTTTCATCAGCAACACAGCTCTCAAGAGAAGCGGGCCATCGTACAAGGCAATTGATCTGTCCTTTTCTGAACTTCATCAGAGTCAGAACTTGCTGCCTGAAACTAAAGCTGATGTCGCCGACATCGCCAGACCGACTGCCAATCAATAAGTCCAAGCGGAGGTTGGCTGTTCCGATGCGGCTGAAAAGCTGTGCAAGAAGCCTTGCAGTATATCGATGCTTGACAAAAATTATGCATTTGGCGTCGGACGGCTTCTCGAAGATCAAGCTCAAGTACTGGTACAAGAGCAAGACTTTTGAACTCAGGCTGCTGCCTGAGACGTCGGGATCAGCGAACGTCCAATTCTTGACCATCTCCTTGGCCTCTTTCAACCGGGCCAGCTCAGAATCTAGCATTGCCACGGGACGATTTCTTGCGTCTCGATTGAATTTCCGTTCTATCTTCCGCTCAACTTTAAGCGCTTGTTCCTCATCCAGAACGAAACGCCATAGAAGGTCCGCGCACCATTCGCCAAGCTGCGAGGTAGCTTCCCGGGCATTCCTGAAGAATTTGGCCAAGGCTTCGAAGTCACCGAATTTCGCCTTCAGCGACGATGAAAGTGGTGTGTCGTAGGCGTAGCCCAATCGCTCGTACACTGCGAGGCTTTCGTTGGGACGACTTATTGACATTCGCAGAAGAGAAAGATCGGAGGTCGTCGCTATTTGGCTGTGTAACATTGCTTCGAGTTCTCTGAGCACCGTTAAGACATACATATGGAGGAAACATAATGGGCAATTCGCTTACTTCGCAGCCTTGACCACGTCTTCTCTCGCGTCAACCGGAGATGCAGTCATACCGAATACTTTTGGCCGCTTCGCTGGGTCATCTTGGGTAACATAGTAGTCTTTGATAATTCTGTCAGATATTAGACTTGAAACCAAGGCCTAGGAGTTTGGAAGAGACCGACCTAGCGTAGGCATGATTTTTCTTAGTGTGGTGTGCTTCGTCAAAGATAAGAAGATTGATATCATCGATCGATATAAAGGCGTGCATCAGGCATTGGTTGAGTATCTCTGCCGTGCACACAATGACCTCGTTCTCGGCAAAGTGTTTCGCCCAGGTTTCTTTCACCCAGAGGTCGCAGCCCATTTCTCCACAAAAACGTTCAATCTTTTGATCTAGGTTGCATTCGAGCACTGCGAATTGCTGGAAAACAAGTGTCACACAATCCACCTGGGGGGGATTGTTATCCGAGGAATCAGCCACCATGGAGAGAAGCTTACAAGAAAGAACGAAATGCGTCGCTTCTTGCCCATTGCTCGATCCTCGAGCTCCTTGTCGATCATGTGCTTCAAGAGGAGGACAGCTATAAGAGTCTTGCCGGAGCCTGTGACCGTATTAGCTGGAGAGATATCAAATGGTTATACACCGTACTGACCAGTGTCAAGTACAGCTATAATGTTCTGCCCCTTTGCTTTCTCAAATAGCTCTAATTGATACTCCCTCGGATCAGTGATAATTACGTTAGACTCTTGTTTTGCCATTAGGCTACGGATCGAAAGGTTCTCCTCGTTAGCATTTTCGACCACTGCTTGCACCTCCTCATTCGTGATCTTGGCGGCGCGCTTTGATAACCTGATTGATGATGAGCATCAACATTAGTAGACATCTCTTCCCTGGAGACAGCTTACCATGCCGAGAATTTACTATTCTGAGCCTTGCGTCTCTCCGATATTGTGAGCGTCCTTGGGGTCGCATTCTGCTCGTCTTCCGAATCCGAGGCGCTGGGACTGGGCTCCTGTTCTGATTCGTTCATCACTCCTAACACATCGGTCTTTGACTTAGGGTCATTCGGCATAGTTGCTCCCTTGTAGCCTTGAAAGATCGATCGCTGAGCGGCTTTTCTTTTCCGGGAAGTTGTAGATGAGCCTTCTGTGGTATGCTGGATGGCCGGCAACTTCTGTGCTGGCCCATGACCTTTGAGGTCTTCGAGAGTAAACTTGGCCATTGAGGAAGCAGAAGTTGTCGTCATGGTTGCGGAAGGTTGCTAAAGCGAAACGATATCCTAGAGACCCCGTAGGCGAGAGGAATTTCAATTACAGTAGTGTTAACAACGCATGTGATGATGAGCAGGTACCCGAACACCTGCGGGAGTGACAGTCATTGGTTCACGGCAGCGAATTGAGTTCGTGCAAAGAGAGTATGTCAAACCAAACGAACCAGCGAGGGTGACTGTAGTCAGAGTGGTGCTTTTGACAACGTGCAAGAGCACGGAGAATTTTGGAAAGGGAGTCCAGGAGGTCACGCTATGGAGACTACGAATATGAAGAGGGAAGGGAAGTGAAAAAGCGAATCACGTTGTTATGAACAAGACAGCAGATCGTTCCATGTTTTTGGAGAGTGAAGCTATGTGACCATCACTGTTATTTGTAGAATGAAGCAGTTGAGTTGCAAAGAAGGTGCTCCTAGCGGCTCGGCCCTTTGATGGAAGCGCCCAGTCTCTCTCCTTCAATGTAAACATTAAACAAGCTTCTCCACCTAAGGTAACCCCAAACGTCCCGCTTATACCGAACAAAATGGATACAGAGACAAACATCCGCACTTTATTCACTTCCGCCAAAAACCAGCGAAAAGAGCTGGAATCCTCCCCAGACCCCACGAGCTCCGTCTACCATGAAAATCTGCAAGCAGCTATCACAAGTCTCGAGGAATGTAGGAAGATTACAGATAGCATATCGCTATTCAGTCCGAATGAGACTGAAGATGACATCTCATCTGGGGACCTACAGTAGCTGCCACGTCCAAGCTGGGCTTGACCAGCATGGCTGACAGTCCCCAGGTACCTCCTCGTCGACTACTACTTGGCAGACTTGATACTCAAAGACAATACTTCAGACAGGCGGATGATCCTGCAGCGAGCACAGGAAATATACGAACGCTATCTCTGCCTCTTGGACACCTACAGCATGCTCAATGCTAGGGATAGGAAGCTTTACGAAAGATACCTCGAGGGTAGAGACGATTTCTCTCTGATATCGACAACAGACCCTGCAGCGCGCAGAGATACAAAAATAGCAAGGTACAAGCAAGAGAATGAATTAAAGCTCAAGCTTGAAGTCCGCGCCTTTCAAATCCTGCCCAAAGTCTTCTGTCCTAATGCACATAACAGTTCCTCAGCAAGGTCCCGATGGAGCTTCAAGGAGACGATGCTGCACTCAGGGAGATCGTCCTTGCCGAGATTCAACTATGCGTCCACCACACCTTCCACTCACTCGACGTTATCGGGCAAGAGCTCAAGATCCTTGCACTCATGCCTACTACTCCACCTCCTGGACCTGAAGATCGAGCTGCTGACTATCGAGAACGCAACGGTCGACGTGGAGACGACTATTCTGACCGCCTAGATCCATCGCTTTCGCTACTCACGAACAAAGGGAAGGCAGGGCCCATACTCAGCAAAGATGGGAAACCTCTCAAACCTTTCACCCTACTGGACAGTCGGCAGACGTTACGAGACGGCGTCTTTAGACCGGACCATAGCCTACCCACGATGACCATAGATGAATACCTGGCCGAGGAAAAGAGAAGAGGAGGTATAATTGAAGGTGGGGGAGAGCAATCGGGCAGGCCTGCAGAGCCTGATGAAGACAATCTGGACAAGGCGGACATGGAAACTATGAAGGCGAGAGAGTGGGATGAGTTCACTGAGTCGAATCCCAAGGGTAGTGGGAATACCCTTAATCGTGGATAGCATAGAATAGCAACTGAAATCTAAGCCTGATAAATCACGCTGTGGTAGACCCTTCCCAAACTCCACGCTTTGCATATGCCGACACGATCGCTCAGCCAAGCACCTTCATCTTCTTTTTCTTCTTCCCCGGCTCCTCCTTAGCCTTCTGCTGAAAATCCCTCCAGCTCCCAATCCTCCCCTCCCTCGTCTGCTCCCACTGCACCTCATGGTCCCTCCGCCTCTTCCTAGTCTCCACCTCCTCATCTACCTTTCTCTGCTCCCTCCCCTCCTCCTGCATCTGCGCTTTGATCTGTTTCCGCCGTCTCTGCTCGTTGTCAATCAGCACCTCCACCGTCTTCCGTCGCCAGGCCTCCCTAAAATCCTTGTCCGGATTCTTTACCTCCTCGCTGTCGACAGTCAGTTTACGTTCCCGCATGAGCAGCATGCGGGCGTCGGCAATGCATTCGTCGAGCGTAGTGCGCTGCTTTTCGTCCATGAGTTCGGTTTGGGCTTTCTTTAGGCGGTCAAAAGCGTCGGGGGCGCGAGGGTTGGACGTTTTGTCGGGATGTATGAGGAGGGATTTCTTTCTGTAGCATAGCTTGATCTCGGATTCAGGGACACCAGGTTGTAAGTCGAGCACTGCATAGCTGTAGCCAGGAATCAGCGAGACATAGCCGGGCAGGCGCGTCTGAGAGAAGCTTACGCGTCTAGCTTGAAGGCTTTAAGTATACGGTCGATTTCTGCATCCTAAAATGAAGGTCAATAAGGGAATGTAACGAGCAGCTGGCGTTGAGGACATACTTTGTTGTATTCGGCTGCTTCCTTTTCGAGAGCGTCAAGGGCTTCGAGCTCATCTCTGCCTCCTCCTTCCTCCTTCACTTCTTCCTTTAGCTCTTCCTTGATTGCCATAGCTGAACAGGATGAATCAGAGCAATGGTCAGGGAAACAAGGTAGAGGATAGGTGAAGAGCATAGTATCGGGAGTATCTTTTCGTTATCTTATCTTAGCGCCATCTCAAAAATGAAGTTATCCCCGGCCCACTCTTTTTTCGAACGTTAGCCAGAATACTGGCCATGGCTGTCCTAGCAGCTGGGCCGAAGAGAGGCTCAAAGCTGATATCAAAGCCAAAATCTGAAGCCCATACTTTGAAAAGAAAGCGCGATGAGGAGGGTCTAGACGCCCTCAACCAACGAGTCCGGGACATCAACGTCAAGGATAGTGACTACGGCACGTTTGCAAGTCTACCACTCTCGCAACCAACCGCCTCTGGGCTTGAAGCCTCTCACTTCAAGGCTCTTACGGATATACAAAAGCAAGCTGTGCCCCATGCACTCAAAGGCTCCGACATCCTGGGAGCAGCAAAAACAGGCAGTGGGAAAACCCTTGCGTTCCTAGTCCCGGTTCTCGAGAACCTCTATCGCAAAAAATGGACAGAGCTGGACGGTCTAGGGGCTCTGGTACTGTCGCCGACAAGGGAATTGGCGATCCAGATCTTCGAGGTCCTACGAAAGATTGGACGCTACCACAACTTCTCCGCCGGCCTTGTTATTGGAGGCAAGAGTCTACAAGAGGAGCGAGAAAGGTTGGGACGGATGAATATACTAGTGTGTACGCCTGGGAGGATGTTACAGCACATGGACCAGACGGCCGCTTTTGAAATCGACAACCTACAGATGCTTGTCCTGGATGAGGCTGACAGGATCATGGACATGGGCTTTCAAAAGGACGTGGATGCGATTGTAGAACACCTACCAAGAGAGAGGCAGACTCTGCTCTTCAGTGCTACACAAACGAAGAAAGTGTCCGATCTGGCAAGATTAAGCTTAAGAGATCCCGAGTACGTGTCTGTGCACGAGGCCGCTACCAGCGCAACGCCATCAACCTTGCAGCAGAATTATGTTGTGACCCCGCTCCCCGAGAAGTTAGATACCCTTTGGAGCTTCATCCGATCCAATCTCAAGTCCAAGATTCTGGTCTTTTTGTCTTCAGGCAAGCAGGTCCGCTTCGTGTACGAGGCTTTTCGACATATGCAGCCCGGTATCCCTCTGCTTCACCTTCATGGGAGACAAAAGCAGACGGCAAGACTAGACATCACGAATAAGTTCTCTGCTTCAAAGAACTCATGCCTTTTTGCAACAGATGTAGTTGCACGTGGGCTGGATTTCCCAGCTGTGGACTGGGTCATTCAGCTCGACTGTCCGGAGGACGCGGATACTTACATCCATCGCGTGGGTAGGACAGCGCGCTACGAGCGAGATGGTAGAGCGGTCCTTTTCCTCGAACCAAGTGAGGAAGAAGGCATGATCAAACGCCTGGAGCAGAAGAAGGTCACGGTCGAGAAGATCAACGTCCGTCAAAAGAAGCAACAATCTATCAAGAATCAGTTGCAGAACATGTGCTTTAAAGACCCAGAATTGAAGTATGTAGGGCAGAAAGCTTTCGTGTCATATGTCAGATCTATACACATACAGAAGGATAAGGAAGTCTTCAAGCTAAATGAGCTACCATTGGAAGAGTTTTCGGCGAGTCTGGGTCTTCCAGGAGCTCCAAAGATAAAGTTCCTCAAAGGCGACAATGCCAAAAATTTGAAGAACGCGCCCAGACAAGCTGTATCTTCTTCAGAAGACGAGGGCGACGGGGCCGCGGCTTCTGGTAGTGGGTCAACCGCCAAGAAGACAATTACAAGAACCAAATACGACCGAATGTTTGAGCGAACCAATCAGGACATTCTTACTGATCATTACAGCAAGCTTGTGAATGATGATCAGGGTCAAAGTAGCGATGTTAACAACGCAGACGAAGGCCAGGATTTTCTAACCGTCAAACGGCGCCTGAGCGACGCTTCAAGCGTTGACAGCGAAGCAGAGGGGAAATTGCTGGTACCAAAACTTGACTCTCGCAAAATGGTAGGGAAGACGCCCATAAATGTCGACTCCAAACGCAAAGAGAAACTTCTCAAATCCAAAAAGAAGCTCCTTAAGCTCAAAGAAAAGGGTCAGAAACTCGTCTTCGACGAAGAAGGCAACCCCCACCAAATCTACGAGTTGGAGAACGAAGATCAATTCAAGCAGCGAGGAGCAGTTGATGTACAGAAAGCTAAGTTTCTGGAAGGGGAACAGGCGAGGTTGCAGGCGGCGGACCTGGCAGACAAGCAGGCTGCGAAAGCTAAGAGGAAGGAGAAGAGGGAGAAAAGGAAGGCTAGGGAGGTTGAAGAAGCTGCTGATGACGACGATGCGGGGGGGAGACAAGCTGTTCTTGTGCCATTTGAGGGAGATATTGGGGAAGATCTGGATGCTTTGGAC